ATTGTTATAAAATGGTGGATAATACAAGTGAAACTACTTGGTTCGTGCTCTAGAAACACATATCATATTTAGAATTTATAATGTAAAAATAAAACCATACCATATGGTTCTGATCAACAACCATCCATCGCTCCATATTCTTAGAAGCAAATCTGATACGATTACTTGTAATATTTTTCAACAAGTTTGTAGCTGTGATATGATTGTCATAAACCCAAAACATGATCCCAAACAGAAATGTCTGATGGGACATTAAGATACCATCTAGCACAATTAAACATTGATGACAATTCTATTTTCATGATAAAAACGTCACAGTGATACCATTCACCTTGCATTATAAATGCGATCAGAATGAGGCCTGAATGTGCAGCATGTTCTAAAAACTTGTTTGTTGAGATAATATCCGACTTTAGCTGCAGGTATTACGATAGCAGCATTTGCCCATTTGATTTAAGAAACAAGTAAACATTTACAAATCATTATCGAGGTTATGTATCCTGAAGTGAATAACGATTACACAAATCAATGTCAAGAAACCATGTTATCATAGTTTTCGAGGAACACTTGTAATGGATATGGCACACTATTTAGCTTGTATTTTGTTTCACACATTCGTGATTTCTAGTAAGTAAAAGATTAATTACGCAGTAAGTAACTGCGGTTGTTGTTTATTGTGAAAGTAATTGAATATATATGTACCTAAATTTATGCATTGTATCCTCAACTGGTTACTTGCGGAACACATGTTAATTACCTGAAAAAACCCAACTATGCTTGATCAAGTGACAAATGTATTAACATGCTTTTGATTTAACGCTTACTTGTTTGAAGTGTTTGAAGTAATGTGTTGCATATAGTGACAGAAATACTTTTTTAAAGATACGATAAGATTCAACCCAGTCACTTGTGTTGTTGTAGATCATTGCAAAATTCTTTTAGTTGTATTCACTTGACTCGTAACCGTTCAAACCATTATACAATAAATTTCACCTGACAGAGTAGCTCGAGCACAGCGGGTATATACCAAATGAATGCATATATCCGACATATCAGTCGAGATCTTTCGGCAAAAGTACGTATAGAAGAAAATAATATTTTATTGATGTGTAATCAGACGTAATTGTGTAACAATAACCATACATGGTTTTCATGCTGACGATAACATAATGTCTTAAACAAAATGTGTTTCGGGCTCGACTATTTGGCGCCAGGTGTTCGGTACATGTTTGTCGAACACATTATTTTACATACGCATAGGTCACTTTTGACATGTGTCCCATTAGGTGCAACTTTCAAAGAATTCCTTCGGGTATAATAAAACATTCACAGGTCTTTGTGCCGCTCATCTAAGCACTTTATATACAAAATAAGTATCGCCTTGTTCACTCCTTGTATAGCAGTTGTTGATGCGATTCGTGTCCACGCGAGGAACTGACTTTGCAATCGCTGTCAATATTCTTAGCAATGAACAACTGAATGCATAATATGGATGTCCGGAGCCATCCCCTATTGTGACTTGAATAATTGACTTGCCTCTTCATGTGTTTGTGAAGGGTGCTACTGGTGGGGCGGGATACGCTCATCTTTTCGCGTACACTATTTGATAGTAATTCGTAATCACATGTTCACATTCGAATTATAGGGAAAGGGTTTTGTCGCTTATATTTTCTAATTCATACTATATATTTACATGCAATGTTTGAATCATGTTTGCATTTCAGTTTCAATGTCAATTACGTATCTATATACATACTATCTTTCTGCTCCACAAGCTTCATTTATTCTCACAAAATTTCATACCACATGTCGATGTATTGTTCAATTACAATATCTATTACATGCCTGAACATTATTGAGGATAGATTACGTGTTGTCTCACCGCCATTACATTCTGATTATTGCACTACGTGGCATCGAGTATTAAACGTCAACGCAAGAGAATAACCTGCCTCGTTTATCTGCCGAACACATACGATTGTGTATAAAAGGCAAACTACATGAAACCAGAGAAACAAGTGTTCCAATGATCTCATGCAAAGAATTCGCTGTGCACAGTTGCGCCCATTGGGCGTGACAGAAATCTTTGCTAAAATCCCCGTTCGCTCTGATCTGATATTGTTTATATATTTGTCTGTAGGATATCCGTGCTCGTGGTTTCACCATAATGATACAGGTCTAAGACCTGCATCACTTCGAGCTTTCCTCCCAAATCAAGCCATGATATAACATTTATACTGTTCAAAGCGGTGTTAAACCCAACTCACTCACTCATTTTTGTCAAACCCGATCACCCATAAATGAATCCCAATAAAATAGCTGACAAAACATGATAAGAAATTTATAAACATGTAGAGAGGCATAAAATAAGATACCGTTTCGGTATAGATCCTTATACCGTTGTTAAGCAGTCTTGCCGAAACCGAAACGACCCTTTACAGTATTAAAGTTGTTATCCATATATTGTGTCTACTTTGTCATCCGTCAATTTCTAAATAATGCCTACTAAACAATATTATAATATTGGTCCACGTAATTTTGCACAAACAACTTTGTATCGATCGTACTCCAAACAGCGAGACTTCTGACACCAAATGAACATGTTGTCTTCATGTAGCAATAAACAGGTATTCGCAATGAACTAAAAATAATAAGTATAATCTCCTTTTAACCATGGACAGATCATATTACAATAGCCTTAAATGATGCAGACCAGATTATATAAGCATTGAATGTTAATTATTAATGTTGGTTTTAATTTCTATGTTATCTGTTACTATTTGAATCAAATCTATCATTCCGTACTTTAACCCAAGTAATTTTCAAAACAATATTCAAATATTTTTCAATGTCATTCGTCAATTTAATTCAGAGAAAGGGTATATTTGTATATTTGGAAGCAGGATGATAATCTTAAGAATAAAAGTTAATTAACACCGAAACATTAACGCTGTTGGAGAACTGTAAAGGAGTATGGCGGGCTCTCCGATCACAGAAACATTTTTTTTCTCGTTGACAAGAACATGATTGACGTACGAGTTCATAAGTGTTTGCATTTAATGACAGCGCTGAGTAGCATAAAGTGATTAGTAAACTATAAGCAGCACCGTAGGGATCAAGGTTTGAATGATATCCAGTGTGCTTATGTTTGTCAGTGACGAGCTGACGAAATTGAATTGGGTGGTCAGGATCAGTTACTTGGTTGATTGCACGTCAACGTATCCCTTCAGTGAAGGACGTTACTCTTCATAATAAACTTTGCCTGGTACAGACTCGAGTATTTACTGTAAGCTGTGATATAGCTTTTTATGCTGACTGCGGCGTAGAATAAAAAAAACAGAAAAAAAACCGTAATAAAGAATGACTAAATATAGATTTTGTTCATGGTCAATGTGTTTTAGTGATTTTCAAGAAAGAAATAAACATGCACGTAATGAACGGTACATATCTTTCATTTTATAATTTCCCATATACTTCTCAGCTGTGGTACTACTAATTATTCGAAAGAGTAAATGATGATAAAAATGTTATTATTTTGGTAAAAAAAACACCTTTCTGTCCTAAATTCAATATTGTGCCTAGTATTAACGTGTATTATATAGTTAAATGAAACATTTTTAATTTTTTTCTAGAAATGCACGTATAAGGATGTGGTTATATTCGCTTAATTCTCTTATTTAGTACAAATGTCAAATAGAAACCCTCGCAATACATACGCATAACACAGTTTATCATATAATGGGTAGGTTTCTCGGCAGGATAAAGCCAACGGATAAAAACGATATCCGTTGGGGTCATATGCGGATAGAGATGCAAATATCAAAGGTCAAGTAGGACTACTTTCACTGTTTATAAACAAGCATGGCGTCGCCTTCGTCATTCGGCGATCGAGTCAGAATTAACCATCGTGAATCTGGATAAACTACAGGGATAATTGCTATCTTTATAAAACGAACAGTCTAATATACTGAAAATCAGTGTCTAACTGTGACGTAGCTAAGGCATTTTATAAGTTTTGGCAACTTTCGAGATATAAATTTTGAAACAATTTTGTGAGGGCACGAGGCCTAGCCAAGCGGGATCAGTAGCCATATCTGTGCTTGTAGACCTCTGTGGCTTGAAACCTTCTCCACAAATCAAAATGGTTGGATTCGGCCGAAATATGTTTGAACTGTTACCTTGTTTCGTTTTGTCGCTGTGTGTACATCTGACTACACTTCTTAACGTTATGAAAGGACAGACCGACTGTCAACAACGTCTGACCGTGGCCGTGACGTCTCAAAGACTAGAGTTAGAGTAGCTTCCCTTTGACAAAGGGCAGTTACTCTAGCGGACAGACTGATGGATTGCCGCGAAAGGCAATTAAAAACAACTGTTGTTTTGCGTATATGTTGCTTCGCCACTGTATAAGAAACAGATTTCAGTTGGAACTATATTGGCTACTGTTACTGTCCGACTGACTAATCACTTACCCTGTGACGTAATAAATATTAATGCGCGCATTCCAGGAAAACTCGCAATGTTTCGGTAATGTTTGTGAGAGAGGGAAAGCGATTTTAAAGCACAGAATTAAAGAATGACATTATATGATAAGGAGGTTATCACGCTTGTGTGTTTGGGGATGGTAAATATCCTGTATTAGGAATAAACACTATGTATTTAGCTCGCCAAGGCTCGCTAAATACAATGTTTATTCCTAATGCAGGATATTTACCATCCCCAAACACACTCGCGTGATAACCTCTATTGACCACTACGAAAATGACTGACAGAAAATCGTTTAATACTTCTCGAAATGTTTGCAGAGATGACTACTTGTTTCAGACGCGTTGTTTTGAGGGCTCAGTAGTAAATAATACTAATAAAACTGAAAATATGTATCCTTAAAATACATACAAGGGCGAATACTAACGAACACCATCTGTTCGTGATGTTATCACTACCAGCATCACTTGCTGTTATCTTTCCTGTACAGATTTAACATTTTTCTTGTTTATCAGGTATTGGAACAAACGTTGCTGAGAACAAACCCGCATGGATGAGCTCAATCTGGAAGTCGAATCAACCCGCCAGTACTGCTGTCGATGGAGTAATACTTGCACACGATTACAAATACTCAGCTGTCACAAAACCGGGCGAAATGACAGGCTGGTGGAAGGTGGATCTACAAACACAAGTACAGTCAGCACTGGTTACCCTGTACTTTAGTACATACTGTACGTACAGACTCATTTACGCCATCAATATTACTCTCGTATAGTAAACACATTCATCCATGGTTCCTGGAACGCCATAACATGTAACTATCATTATATTACGTTAGAAACGTGCGCATGCCTGCAACAGGATTCGCAGTCTCTTTTTGATCGGTGTATTGAAATTCAAAATGATATTAATCACAATACCTAGGCCACTGCATGGGGGATGATTTCGATTTTTATGTAAAGTAATATACTATCAGCTCACACATTTCTCAACAGCTTCATTTCTTTAGAGCATGTACATTTCTTTAGAGTATGTACATTTCGTTCATATTTTACGGAAAGACATGTTGTGTTTATGATATAATGGGTGGGTTTCTTGGCAGGATAAAGTCAGCGAATGAAAACGATATCCGTTGGGGTCATATACGGATAGATATGCAAATACCAAAAGTCAAGTTGGGACTACGTTCATTGTTTATAAACTTACATGGGGTCGCCCGTGTCATTTGGTGATCGAGTCAGAAATAAGCATCGGAAATGTGGAGAAACAACTGGGAAAATTGCTATCATTATAAAACATAATAGTCTAATATACTGACAACCAGTGCCTAACAGTGACGTAGCTTAGTCACTTTACAAGTTTTGGCAACTTTGGAAACAATATTGAGAGGGCACTAGCCAAGTGGAATCACTTTCCATATCTGTGCTTGGAGACCTCTGCGGCTTGGAACCATTTCCACAAATTAGAACAGTTTGGCCGAAATATGTTCGAATTTATACCTTTTTTCGTTTTGTCGCTGTGTGTACATCTGACTACACGTATTTACTTCTTCGTATCGTTATGACAGGACAGGCTGACTGTCAACAATGTTCGTCTGTGGACGTGACGTTTCATAGATTAGGGTTAGAGTAGCCTCCCTTTGATAAATGACAGACGGATGGATTGCCGCGAAAGGCAACTAAAACAATTTGTTTAGGCAATTGTTGTTTTGCATATATGTAATTACGCCACTGAAAAGGAACAGGTTTCACTTGGAACTATATTAGCTACAGTCACTGTTCAACTGACACATCACTTACCCTCGGACGTAATAAATATCAATGCGCACATTTCAGAAAAACCTGCAATGTATAGGTAATGTTTGTGAGATATGGAAAGGGATTTTCGAGCACAGAATTGAAGAATGACATTATATGATACAGTGGATATCACGCTTGTGTGTTTGGGGATGGTAAATATCCTGTATTAGGAATGAACACTATATTATGTTTAGCTCGCCAAGGCTCGCGAAATACAATGTTTATTCCTAATACAGGATATTTACCATCCCAAAACACACTCGCGTGATAGCTTCTATTTACTTGTTTCAGACAAGCCAAGACGTAATGGAGTGCAGCTCTACACATCTATGACAAATTCATCTGATCCCAAGGAAGGAAATCTATGTCACAGTGTAACAGGACGTTTTAACGGTACAGAAATTCCTGATGTGCTGAATGTCACCTGTCCTGGAACGTGGCACTACCTGACTGGATACACAGAGACTGATAATGATGGATATGGTCCTCTATTAGACTTTGTTGAAGTACAAGTGTGGAGTAAGTATATATCCTGTTGATCGTGAATTAGTAAATCTATTCAAGTAAAAATATCTTTTGATATATTTTATAATCTGAATTTGCGTGGCCTTGTTTCCATGTCTGTTTTTCATTATAGTGTATATTTTTGTTGTCCATATGTATTAAGTACATGTAATTGGGAAGGATACACAAACAACATCACATACATCACTTTGGAGCACTGTTTGTGTTACCAAAGCACCTATGACAGTTCTATCGAATCGCACTAATATGTTTTCTCGGGTTATATGATATGAAGCTGGGACTTCATGACAATATCTATTTATAATATCAATTTGCGATTTTTATACAAAATTGTTATTTTTCTCCGTTACAATAATTATTACCATCCTTGCAACATGTATAGGATCCCAATAAAACGTTCAACTGTAGATTAAGATATCAAACGCTGATTCCACAAAATCAGCATAATAACCATCATCTCAACAATCACCTCAGGTTTAACATTGTCAGTTATTTATTACGTAATGCTACGGATTGCGAAATATGATGAGATTAGGGAAGTGGTCACTGAGCTGATCGACCTTTTCCTGCGATTTTTGAGTTTGATGCAATTTTGTATCATATACCCATGTTAGATATATTTTCAGATATGTTTGTTGTGTTTCTAAAATATTCTATCAAGAGTGGTCAAACAGACATGTATTCATGTAAATACATTGCAGTACAGTCCGTTCAGGGAATAGCAAGAAACTTTGCTCATGTGTTAACTATAACATGATTTGTTGATGTTACCAGCTGCACAAACTTAGCATAAGTCAAAGAGTCAAAGATATTTATTGCATGTAAGGCCTCCGGCCCATATACAAGATAAGTCGGGTTTACAATGTAGTATTTTGGCAATATATTTCTCAAATTATTTAAGAATTGACTTTCACTTTGTGTGAGTTCATTGGAGTATGAACCTTCATAGAGTGAGGGGCAAGCTGTATGAACGTCGGAGCTTGAACATACAATGTTTGGCCCTCACTCTATGAAGGTTCTTACTCAAATGAACTCACACAAAGTGAAAATCAATTCTTATAATTTTATATATCACTTTTTTTTTACATTTACATTTAGTTTGTGTGACTTGATGTTTACACTGACAGCCATACAACAACCAGCTGCATCGCGGAATAAAATAGTTCCTCAAAACGACAGGTGACATGAGCTTATGTATGCTCAACATGCTCAACTGGACAACTTTTGTAGTTTCTGTAAACAAATGTACTCAAATAATATCCTTATTAGATTCATCGGTACGTCAGTCGGAATGAGTCAGGCATCATTGATCAACTTGACGATCATTGAATGGTGATTAAAGATGTGTCAAATAGACACTAAGGTAAATGTATAGATTGCTGTAGACTGTTACTGTTATCCTAGACACGGAGTCAATACAACGATAGTTTGGAAGTGCATTTCTTCGTTTTGTTCACTAGGATGGGTCGTAGCAAGTAAATTCGTGAACAATTATGGAGTCAAACTCTATGACGTTTCTCAATTTATGCTGAAACGCTGAGTTCGACATTAAATTTAAAGGGTCTAAATGTTCAAAAAGAATGCTTCTGTATGTATTCATGCTCGGAAATTCCCAGGGGTTTCCCCGGGAATGTGGAAGTAGTCTGTCAGTGTTAACGTCAAAAACGGGGTCTGGTGCAATACGTATGGACGTCAAATTGTTACGTTCATACACTGATGAACGACAATTTCGCAGTCATGTGACAGACCTCTCGTCCAATGGAAAAGCCGCATATCATGTAAACTACAAATTAAGATAATAATAAATTATGGACAAATCATACAAAAGTGAAATTCTTTTTTTGTCCATGGATTGACACAAAGTGGACAAAACCTTTGATCTTTGGAATCCCAAGTCTACTGCCTTCTTCTATTATTAACCTGTGATAAGAACATCTAAACTTTGTCAACGCTATTCTATAAATAGGAATTGTTACAATTGATAAATATTCTTCAAAGATAAAAGTAACTTTTTAATGCCCGATACATATCAAGCTTAAAGTGCTTGGCACTTTCATGGTTTCTAGTGACAATGTGTAACATACCATGAACCACAACATGAAACGTACACAAAGATATGTATACGAGGAAACGATTTCCAACTTGCTTTTATAAGAAAAAAATTTCTTAATGTACCACCTTTTCTCAAAACAATAACTTTATTTTTGTTGATATTCACATCGAGGTTTCATTTTCTGCAATACATGGGCAGACTATTCAGTCTCGTTTGCAGACCTTTAACTATATAGTATCAAATAATACCATGTCATCTCAAAACAGGACCATAAAAATATGTCAAACACCAAAGTCAATACACCGGTCTTCATCTGCAGCAAGGAATTCTAAGACATCATTTACATAAAGTGAAAACAGAAGCGGAGATAGCTGGCAACCTTGCTATAGAAATACATGATTGGATATAGAAATATATGTTTCTTATAAGTTCATAATATCTTTGTGATATTCCGCATCCCATAAGTTATGTCCCTTGTTTTCTTTAGAATTGTTCGTTTTTTGTCTGCAGTTCCGTGAATATGTTTACAACAGGTCATGAAACTGATTATATGATTCTCTGACACGCCCACTCTCAGCCAACGCCTGAATTTCTTTAACACAATTTACCGGTTTATGTTTTCAATTTTCACAATACCAAGAGTGTTTTGTTTCGTCCCATTTTATCTCGTCTTTGTTGTCAAATTTTCGTCCGTGGAAGTATCCGAGTGGTTTGTCTTGGCAATCACAGAATATGATACCTCGAAGCTTGTAAACTTGTTGTAGATTTGAGCTGAACACAGGACCTACATAGTCAAGGACACTTTGTCCAGCATTGGCGAAGTATGTATATCTTCCTCTGATCTTTATCACCAAAAAGACGACCATTACATATTCGAAGTTCGAAGTAACTTCTTTCCTGGACTATTCACTATCTTATTCTGTTGTGATTGGTTCATTGGCTAAGTGGTAACAATCCTCATTGATAGGTAGGTATGACACATCATTATCAACGTTTTCGGATAACTGACCTGATCTGGCATTGAAATCATCATGTATAAGGAATTACAGTTTTGGTATATACTTTTGAATGTTGTTCTCTTTAAATTTCAGTTACAAATAACGAAATGTTGTTTCTCACAAGGACTAGAAATCCTCCTGAATTCCTTATGACACCTGATTTCTTTGTTCTTGTTTTACTGTACACACTGTATCCTGGAAAGTTATCTGCGTCTTTTTCTTCGAGCCACGTTTCAGTGATAGATACAATTTGCTGTTCGTCCAGGACATCGGGAAAACGTGTCTCGTGAATAGTCTTTTAAATCCTTCACAGTTCCATATAGTTTCTGTAAATGGGCCTTGGTGGGATCCCTATTCAATGATGTCGTTCGACCTCCCTTCACCGCCTGCTGCTGGAAATGTTTTACTTCTACTAAATTCTCACCGTCAAAGTCGAACTTAATTTTTTTATTGTTAATCTGCAGTTTGTCATACCTCAACCCTGCATTCTTCCCATTCGTTCGCGCCTTTTCCATGAATTGTTTAAGATTGCGTCGCGACGATCTCACTTTATCCGTATTGTTCTGAGAGATTCGCATATTTGGGCCTCTTCAGTTTACTTATAGATCTTATGATGTGCATTCGATGTTTCGAGTTGCTGATGGTCACACGCACAGGTCGTGGTCCGCAGGCTTTAGACGATAATCTTCTAATGTCATCAAATGTAATTTCATAATAGTCTTCGGGGCGGTCGGGTAGCCAAGTGATTAAAGCGTTCGCTCGTCACGCCGAAGACCCGGGTTTAATTCCGGACATGTGTTCAATGTGTGAAGCCCATTTCTGGTGTCCCCCGCCGTGATATTGCTGGTATATTGCAAAAAGTACTCACACACTCACACACTCACCCATAATCGTCTTCAACCTCCATAGTTTTCAATATATCATTTGTTTTGTTCCCCATAAGTATGTAGTTTCTATATGATAGAAAATAAAGTTATTTTTATTTTTGTAACCTTTAAAATAATCAAGTCTTTTGACAGTTTAGTGACAGAGTCTGTTAGTTTAATATTTGCTTAGGACACAGATTGTACATCTTTCTCCACAGTTTAAATTTTCCTCGTAACCTGACGATTCTTCGGCGGGCCGGAATTGGATTCAACATCATTAGTCAACACCAACACACACAGGCAGAGTCGAAACATAACTTCGCGTTCCTCGCACGTGCAGACGCGTGGCCGCTTGCTTTGCTGTCTTCGACATGAAGGCAATATAATTTGAGTTGAAACAGCCATTTTTAGCAATATCTGTGCACGTTAACAATCAAAATAGTCCTCTTTCACATTCATGTGAGCATTAATATGCCCGTTCTTTTCCAAAACATTCCGGAGCGTTGTTTACATGCTGCCAGTTCACTGGCCGCCATGGTCAGCACATGGGGAAACGACATTGTGTATGTCAATTACATTTATAACGCTCAAGGATTGAAAATGTTAAAGCGAAAAAGAAAGTGTTTAGCAAGACTAACATGGCATATGTTATGGTCGTTGAAAGATAGTTTATAATGGACAAGTAGAAAATGAGTGACATAGCACGAACATCACGAATCAACATAATTGATATGCAAATGTCGCTGTCTACTAGATTGTCTTGCATGGGCAACAAATTCGACTTCGAACAGTAATTAATGTCTAAAGAACATGATGTATCAAACATGATTTATTAAACGTCACGATTATGTGGATGAATATTGATATTAGTTAACACTTAATGGCAAATTCAAGTTTCTAAAAGTTTCGTCGCAAAATGAAGATTAAACTCGACACCATTTTTTATTAATATGGTGTCAAGCGCTTTCGCATGTGAACCATCGGATATTTTCTATCGAATATATATACTGTTTATATGTACAAAACACGTTGAAAACACAAATTTCATTTATAGAAGAAAGGAAACGTTACTTTTTTGTGTTTACGCTAACAGCTGATGGATACCCCGTTTGGAAGTATCATTGTGTAAAACTTCTATTTGTTTTTCTTTCACCGAAACCTTTGAAATGAATCAGTTTCTTTTTTTTCCGAAGGCCGAGTGCTCATGTAACTGATTATTGCATATATATTATCTAAGTATTTAATTTACCAATCGATTAGCCATAAACGAAAACGACCTATTAAATGACAAAGCTTAGTTTTAGAATATTAAAATGAATGTGAGCATTCCGTACGTAATACGAATCGTGTCGTTATACACGTAAAATGTCTAAATATAATTGATAAAATAGCTTTCACGCCTCATTATATTCACCATTTTATATACTTCACGAGTAGTGGCAATAGTAGTGTCTTTATCCTTATCGTATTCATAGGTATATATATTTGTGTTGCCGACAGGCAATCTCCGTTTTCCCGCAGTTGATAACGTGAAAACAGTTGTGTCGTACACAAACAGTTCATCGTTCACTCGGAAGTAAAAAAAAAAAATATACCGAAATAATATATAGTGCGTGTTATCCATAAGAAATGCTTTGAGATTTATCTTTGGCACACACAATCAATCAAAGAGAAACAGTTTGCCTTCAACCGTGTTGGAAAACTTTCCTCTGCCTCGTATAATAGCGCTCCCTTAGAAAAATAAAGCGATGAAAACCCGGAAGTAATTCTGTATTTGTTACTTTTTTCTTCTTAAAAATCATAACATAATACGCATATGATATCTTATATCTGAGAGTTAAACTCGAACTATTACAGAAGGCATCCAGCTCGTAATATACGAATTCTAACACACAAAACAATTGAACCTTTGAATATACATTCAAACAAAAGATTTTTGCCGATTTCGTGGATATTACGGGTATCGCAATATGAATCCTTAATCATGTTATTAGGATCTGTCAACTGACCATTTTTCGCAAACATCTGTGTGGGAAAGGGATTTGCGGGATGATGTTGATTGTGAACTCCGGGCGACTCTTTCGTCGATTTTTGATGCCGGTGAGTTGTGTTTGTAATGACATGACAAATCCAATGCATTTTGTGAAAAAATACGACAGTGTACATACGATAGCCAGTTATACTTGCGGCCCAATTGTCTTACGGGTTAGATAAAAACATAGGATACGGATATTTGTCACACTACAGAACTACCTTAAAATTTATGCCTTTTGTGTAAAGTGGAATGTTCCACTATGACTTTGACAAAACACAACGTGATGATATATTTATATAAAACAGTCAAGATCAGTCAGCGTACAAACAAATCATCTTCGCAGCTTACAAATCAGAAACAGATCATATGTATGTTCCTTTATGCAATGTATATTGTAGATATGTCCTTCAAATAGGGTCGTGTATACCGCCTAGAAAGTAGTATACGCTTGTTTGTGTACCTTCATGTAAATACTTGGGATTAAAGTTTACTAAATCTCCTCTTGGTCCAAACATGTAAAAGGTGATTCCTTGCAAGCTAAGAAAAAGAATAATATTGTACAGAATTAAATGTTTATCAATACTTTAACTATTACAATTTCATTATTTTTTTAAAATTTGATTCAAATCCAAATTTACTTTATGGGGAAGGAATATGGCGCGTAAATCGTGAATGTTATCAAGGAATTAAAACTGTATATTTGTAGGCCCCGCAAGTCCTTCCTGAGTGTAAAATCTTCAAATGCAAATCACGTTATTATAGGTGAAGGGCGGTCGGGTAGCCTAGTGGTTAAAGCGTTCGCTCGTCACGCCGAAGACCCGGGTTCGATTCCCGACATGGGTACAATGTGTGAAGCCCATTTCTGGTGTCCCCCGCCGTGATATTGCTGGAATATTGCTAAAAGCGGCGTAAAACCATACTCACTCACTCACTAATATAGGTGAAGGTGGAAACTATTCACTATTTATTTATGCCTGTTCACGAGTTGTAAAATATTGGTGTACAAGTTTATATAAGCGTGACTCAAGGGTTGTTAGAAAATCTTATATTTATTGACTTAATGCAGCGCACAACGGTAACACAAATGGGTCTTTTGTTATTATTATGTTCAGGATTTGGTTTAGTCCTGAACCATGACTGTGGAATTTATATTTTTTAGGTATTTTGTTTCAATGAAAGCCCAGGCAAGTCTAGATAAAACTAACCAAGTCTTGTTTGCTTGATTTCCTTATAAACAGCAGAAGAGAAAAGGTTCTTCCGAAGAATTTTTTAAATTTAAAATACATGTTTCACTAAGTGTTAGTCTAGATTTGGTTATCTACAGGAACAACATTGAGTTCCAAATGTCTCAAGCGTTATGTCTGTATTTGTTCAACGACTGAAACTATCATGCAATCAGGATTGGCATGAAGCGTTACCTGAAAGCACAAACTCATTGGATTACTCTTGATATAAATAAAAGTTCAATACCGAATACTACATCGTAGCCCTAACATGTTATAAATATAAAAACGCAATGGCACAGTTTAGATCAGAAAGAGAGAACATAGAATTTGTGTCATTTATAAAGAGAACTATACACAAGACGAATATCATTTTAAAGTGTAAAACATATTATGATCTTAGAGCCTAATTTACAGCACCAACATGTTATACCTGTGCTACTTGACACAAATTTAGTGTATTTATGTCAACTGAAGAATAACCGTAAGAAAACTATATACACATATAAAGCAATGTGTATTAGAAACAAACTAGCCCCCTTATGTATTACCATTCCACCAATACTGAAAGTCAATTGACTATGACACAATGACAAATTCCGTTTCACCGATCATAACGTTAGAAAAAAAGTGGAAACGTCAATAAACATTTGTGACATGGGTGGCATTTGGGTTAACATCATGATGTTAAAACCACAACATATAACATAGCATTGTTATCATATAATATTTGATTGAACCAATAACATATCGAACAGTCAGATGATACCCCTTCACTTATTCTAGCGTGCTCCGTTGGCATTTATGGAGTCAACTGTAACAAGAACTGTAACTCTCGCCACTGCAGTGGTTCACCGGACTCATGTGATTCCATGACCGGGGCGTGTCCAAGTGGACAGTGCCAGACAGGATGGGCAGGAACAGACTGTGCAGGTGAGAGTATTATAATTAATAAATGGAATGACCAAATAGTGTCTTGTTTTGACTCAGAGTGGGCCTGAACGTTGAAAACGTTTTCCAACGTTACATAAGTAGAAACGTCAATAAACATCTGTGACATGCGTGGCATTTCTGGTTACATTTTGTAAAAACGTATCAGTAGAATTTATTTTACAATACCAAATTTGAAAATACTCCTACTGACTTCACAAAAATCAACATCATGATGTTAAAACCACAACATATAACATAGCATTGTTATCATTTAATATGTGATTGAACCAATAACATATCGAACAGTCAGATGTTACCCCTTCACTTATTATAGCGTGCGCCGTTGGCATTTATGGAGTCAACTGTAACAAGAACTGTAACTCTCGCCACTGCAGTGGTTCACCGGACTCGTGTGATTCCATGACCGGGGCGTGTTCAAGTGGACAGTGCCAGACAGGATGGGCAGGAACAGACTGTGCAGGTGAGAGTATTATAATTAATAAATTGGATGTAGATGACCAAATAGTGTCTTGGTTTGACTCAGGATGGGACTAAACGTTGAAAACGTTAGAAAATAAATGGAAGCGTCAATAAACATTTGTGACATGTGTGGCATTCGTGGTTACATTTCGTAAAAGATACTAAAAGATTTTGTACTAGTAAAATTCATTTTACAATACCAAATTTTGAAAAAGTCCTACTGATTTCACAAAAATCATGATGATGATGTTAAAACCACAACATATAACATAGCATTGTTATCATTTAATATTTGATTGAACCAATAACATATCGAACAGTCAGATGTTACCCCTTCACTTATTCTTGCGTGCTCCGTTGGCATTTATGGAGTCAACTGTAACAAGAGTTGTAACTCTCGCCACTGCAGTGCTTCACCGGACTCGTGTGATTCCATCACCGATCTTGTTTGCGTACGGTTTTCAAAAGGCTTCTCCCGACACTCGGTTGTGTTTACATTGTCAGTCACTGTTCGAAACTGAAACATCGCCGCCTTTCGGGCTATTTACAGTCAGGGTGGGGCTTTTACTGATAGCACAAACTCATTGGATTACTCTTGGTATAGATTAAAGTTCAATACCGAATACTACATCGTAGCCCTAACATGTATAAATTTAAAAACGCAATGGCACAGTTTAGATCAGAAAGAGAGAAGATAGAATATGTATTATTTGTAAAGAGAACTATACACAAGACGAATATCATTTTATTTTGAAGTGTAAAACATATGATGATCTAAGAGCCTAATTTACAACACCAACATATTATACCTATGCTAGATTACAAAATTTCGAAATACTTCTACTGATTTAACAAAAATCATCATCATGATGATAAAACCACAGCATATATTAAAGCATTGTTATCATTTAATATTTGATTGAACCAATAATATAACGAACAGTTAGATGATACCCCTTCACTTATTCTAGCGTGCTCCGTTGGCATTTATGGAGTCAACTGTAACAAGAACTGTAACTCTCGCCACTGCAGTGGTTCACCGGACTCGTGTGATTCCATGACCGGGGCGTGTCCAAGTGGACAGTGCCAGACAGGATGGGCAGGAACAGACTGTGCAGGTGAGAGTATTATAATTAATAAATGGAATGACCAAATAGTATCTCTTGTTTTGACTCAGTGGGCCTAAACGTTGAAAACGTTTTCTAACGTTACATAAGTAGAAACGTCAATAAACATCTGTGACATGTGTGGCATTTCTGGTTACATTTTGTAAAAACGTACCAGTAGAATTTATTTTACAATACCAAATTTGAAAATACTCCTACTGACTTCGGGGCGGTCGGGTAGCCTAGTGGTTAAAGCGTTCGCTCGTCACGCCTATGACCCGGGTTCGAATCCCGACATGGGTACAATGTGTGAAGCCCATTTCTGGTGTCCCCCGCCGTGATATTGCTGGAATATTGCTAAAAGCGGCGTAAAAACTCACTCACTCACTCACTCCTACTGACTTCACAAAAATCATGATGATGATGTTAAAACCACAACATATAACATAGCATTGTTATCATTTAATATTTGATTGAACCAATAACATATCGAACAGTCAGATGTTACCCCTTCACTTATTCTTGCGTGCTCCGTTGGCATTTATGGAGTCAACTGTAACAAGAGCTGTAACTCTCGCCACTGCAGTGCTTCACCGGACTCGTGTGATTCCATCACCGATCTTGTTTGCGTACGGTTTTCAAAAGGCTTCTCCCGACACTCGGTTGTGTTTACATTGTCAGTCACTGTTCGAAACTGAAACATCGCCGCCTTTCGGGCTATTTACAGTCAGGGTGGGGCTTTTACTGATAGCACAAACTCATTGGATTACTCTTGGTATAGATTAAAGTTCAATACCGAATACTACATCGTAGCCCTAACATGTATAAATTTAAAAACGCAATGGCACAGTTTAGATCAGAAAGAGAGAAGATAGAATATGTATTATTTGTAAAGAGAACTATACACAAGACGAATATCATTTTATTTTGAAGTGTAAAACATATGATGATCTAAGAGCCTAATTTACAACACCAACATATTATACCTATGCTAGATTACAAAATTTCGAAATACTTCTACTGATTTAACAAAAATCATCATCATGATGATAAAACCACAGCATATATTAAAGCATTGTTATCATTTAATATTTGATTGAACCAATAATATAACGAACAGTTAGATGATACCCCTTCACTTATTCTAGCGTGCTCCGTTGGCATTTATGGAGTCAACTGTAACAAGAACTGTAACTCTCGCCACTGCAGTGGTTCACCGGACTCGTGTGATTCCATGACCGGGGCGTGTCCAAGTGGACAGTGCCAGACAGGATGGGCAGGAACAGACTGTGCAGGTGAGAGTATTATAATTAATAAATGGAATGACCAAATAGTATCTCTTGTTTTGACTCAGTGGGCCTAAACGTTGAAAACGTTTTCTAACGTTACATAAGTAGAAACGTCAATAAACATCTGTGACATGTGTGGCATTTCTGGTTACATTTTGTAAAAACGTACCAGTAGAATTTATTTTACAATACCAAATTTGAAAATACTCCTACTGACTTCGGGGCGGTCGGGTAGCCTAGTGGTTAAAGCGTTCGCTCGTCACGCCTATGACCCGGGTTCGAATCCCGACATGGGTACAATGTGTGAAGCCCATTTCTGGTGTCCCCCGCCGTGATATTGCTGGAATATTGCTAAAAGCGGCGTAAAAACTCACTCACTCACTCACTCCTACTGACTTCACAAAAATCATGATGATGATGTTAAAACCACAACATATAACATAGCATTGTTATCATTTAATATTTGATTGAACCAATAACATATCGAACAGTCAGATGTTACCCCTTCACTTATTCTTGCGTGCTCCGTTGGCATTTATGGAGTCAACTGTAACAAGAGCTGTAACTCTCGCCACTGCAGTGCTTCACCGGACTCGTGTGATTCCATCACCGATCTTGTTTGCGTACGGTTTTCAAAAGGCTTCTCCCGACACTCGGTTGTGTTTACATTGTCAGTCACTGTTTGAAACTGAAACATCGCCGCCTTTCGGGCTATTTACAGTCAGGGTGGGGCTTTTACTGATAACACAAACTCATTGGATTACTCTTGGTATAAATTAAAGTTCAATACCGAATACTACATCGTAGCCCTAACATGTATAAATTTAAAAACGCAATGGCACAGTTTAGATCAGAAAGAGAGAAGATAGCATATGTATTATTTGTAAAGAGAACTATACACAAGACGAATATCATTTTATTTTGAAGTGTAAAACATATGATGATCTAAGAGCCTAATTTACAACACCAACATATTATACCTATGCTAGATTACAACATTTCGAAATACTTCTACTGATTTAACAAAAATCATCATCATGATGATAAAACCACAGCATATAACATAGAATTGTTATCATTTAATATTTGATTGAACCAAAAAACATATCGAACAGTCAGATGTTACCCCTTCACTTATTTTTGCGTGCTCCGTTGGCATTTATGGAGTCAACTGTAACAAGAGCTGTAACTCTCGCCACTGCAGTGCTTCACCGGACTCGTGTGATTCCATCACCGATCTTGTTTGAATACGGTTTTCAAAAGGCTTCTCCCGACACTCGGTTGTGTTTACATTGTCAGTCACTGTTCGAAACTGAAACATCGCCGCCTTTCGGGCTATTTACAGTCAGGGTGGGGCTTTTACTGATAACACAAACTCATTGGATTACTCTTGGTATAAATTAAAGTTCAATACCGAATACTACATCGTAGCTCTAACATGTATAAATTTAAAAACGCAATGGCACAGTTTAGATCAGAAAGAGAGAAGATAGCATATGTATTATTTGTAAAGAGAACTATATACACGAGACGAATATCATTTTATTTTGAAGTGTAAAACATTTGATGATCTAAGAGCCTAATTTACAAAACCAACATATTATACCTATGCTAGATTACAAAATTTCGAAATACTTCAACTGATTTAACAAAAATCATCATAATGATGATAAAACTACAGCATATAACATAGCATTGTTATCATTTAATATGTGATTGAACCAATAACATATCGAACAGTCAGATGTTACCCCTTCACTTATTATAGCGTGCGCCGTTGGCATTTATGGAGTCAACTGTAACAAGAACTGTAACTCTCGCCACTGCAGTGGTTCACCGGACTCGTGTGATTCCATGACCGGGGCGTGTTCAAGTGGACAGTGCCAGACAGGATGGGCAGGAACAGACTGTGCAGGTGAGAGTATTATAATTAATAAATTGGATGTAGATGACCAAATAGTGTCTTGGTTTGACTCAGGATGGGACTAAACGTTGAAAACGTTAGAAAATAAATGGAAGCGTCAATAAACATTTGTGACATGTGTGGCATTCGTGGTTACATTTTGTAAAAGATACTAAAAGATTTTGTACTAGTAAAATTCATTTTACAATACCAAATTTTGAAAAAGTCCTACTGATTTCACAAAAATCATGATGATGATGTTAAAACCACAACATATAACATAGCATTGTTATCATTTAATATTTGATTGAACCAATAACATATCGAACAGTCAGATGTTACCCCTTCACTTATTCTTGCGTGCTCCGTTGGCATTTATGGAGTCAACTGTAACAAGAGCTGTAACTCTCGCCACTGCAGTGCTTCACCGGACTCGTGTGATTCCATCACCGATCTTGTTTGCGTACGGTTTTCAAAAGGCTTCTCCCGACACTCGGTTGTGTTTACATTGTCAGTCACTGTTCGAAACTGAAACATCGCCGCCTTTCGGGCTATTTACAGTCAGGGTGGGGCTTTTACTGATAGCACAAACTCATTGGATTACTCTTGGTATAGATTAAAGTTCAATACCGAATACTACATCGTAGCCCTAACATGTATAAATTTAAAAACGCAATGGCACAGTTTAGATCAGAAAGAGAGAAGATAGCATATGTATTATTTGTAAAGAGAACTATATACACGAGACGAATATCATTTTATTTTGAAGTGTAAAACATTTGATGATCTAAGAGCCTAATTTACAAAACCAACATATTATACCTATGCTAGATTACAAAATTTCGAAATACTTCAACTGATTTAACAAAAATCATCATAATGATGATAAAACTACAGCATATAACATAGCATTGTTATCATTTAATATGTGATTGAACCAATAACATATCGAACAGTCAGATGTTACCCCTTCACTTATTATAGCGTGCGCCGTTGGCATTTATGGAGTCAACTGTAACAAGAACTGTAACTCTCGCCACTGCAGTGGTTCACCGGACTCGTGTGATTCCATGACCGGGGCGTGTTCAAGTGGACAGTGCCAGACAGGATGGGCAGGAACAGACTGTGCAGGTGAGAGTATTATAATTAATAAATTGGATGTAGATGACCAAATAGTGTCTTGGTTTGACTCAGGATGGGACTAAACGTTGAAAACGTTAGAAAATAAATGGAAGCGTCAATAAACATTTGTGACATGTGTGGCATTCGTGGTTACATTTTGTAAAAGATACTAAAAGATTTTGTACTAGTAAAATTCATTTTACAATACCAAATTTTGAAAAAGTCCTACTGATTTCACAAAAATCATGATGATGATGTTAAAACCACAACATATAACATAGCATTGTTATCATTTAATATTTGATTGAACCAATAACATATCGAACAGTCAGATGTTACCCCTTCACTTATTCTTGCGTGCTCCGTTGGCATTTATGGAGTCAACTGTAACAAGAGCTGTAACTCTCGCCACTGCAGTGCTTCACCGGACTCGTGTGATTCCATCACCGATCTTGTTTGCGTACGGTTTTCAAAAGGCTTCTCCCGACACTCGGTTGTGTTTACATTGTCAGTCACTGTTCGAAACTGAAACATCGCCGCCTTTCGGGCTATTTACAGTCAGGGTGGGGCTTTTACTGATAGCACAAACTCATTGGATTACTCTTGGTATAGATTAAAGTTCAATACCGAATACTACATCGTAGCCCTAACATGTATAAATTTAAAAACGCAATGGCACAGTTTAGATCAGAAAGAGAGAAGATAGAATATGTATTATTTGTAAAGAGAACTATACACAAGACGAATATCATTTTATTTTGAAGTGTAAAACATATGATGATCTAAGAGCCTAATTTACAACACCAACATATTATACCTATGCTAGATTACAAAATTTCGAAATACTTCTACTGATTTAACAAAAATCATCATCATGATGATAAAACCACAGCATATATTAAAGCATTGTTATCATTTAATATTTGATTGAACCAATAATATAACGAACAGTTAGATGATACCCCTTCACTTATTCTAGCGTGCTCCGTTGGCATTTATGGAGTCAACTGTAACAAGAACTGTAACTCTCGCCACTGCAGTGGTTCACCGGACTCGTGTGATTCCATGACCGGGGCGTGTCCAAGTGGACAGTGCCAGACAGGCTGGGCAGGAACAGACTGTGCAGGTGAGAGTATTATAATTAATAAATGGAATGACCAAATAGTATCTCTTGTTTTGACTCAGTGGGCCTAAACGTTGAAAACGTTTTCTAACGTTACATAAGTAGAAACGTCAATAAACATCTGTGACATGTGTGGCATTTCTGGTTACATTTTGTAAAAACGTACCAGTAGAATTTATTTTACAATACCAAATTTGAAAATACTCCTACTGACTTCGGGGCGGTCGGGTAGCCTAGTGGTTAAAGCGTTCGCTCGTCACGCCTATGACCCGGGTTCGAATCCCGACATGGGTACAATGTGTGAAGCCCATTTCTGGTGTCCCCCGCCGTGATATTGCTGGAATATTGCTAAAAGCGGCGTAAAAACTCACTCACTCACTCACTCCTACTGACTTCACAAAAATCATGATGATGATGTTAAAACCACAACATATAACATAGCATTGTTATCATTTAATATTTGATTGAACCAATAACATATCGAACAGTCAGATGTTACCCCTTCACGTATTCTTGCGTGCTCCGTTGGCATTTATGGAGTCAACTGTAACAAGAGCTGTAACTCTCGCCACTGCAGTGCTTCACCGGACTCGTGTGATTCCATCACCGATCTTGTTTGCGTACGGTTTTCAAAAGGCTTCTCCCGACACTCGGTTGTGTTTACATTGTCAGTCACTGTTTGAAACTGAAACATCGCCGCCTTTCGGGCTATTTACAGTCAGGGTGGGGCTTTTACTGATAACACAAACTCATTGGATTACTCTTGGTATAAATTAAAGTTCAATACCGAATACTACATCGTAGCCCTAACATGTATAAATTTAAAAACGCAATGGCACAGTTTAGATCAGAAAGAGAGAAGATAGCATATGTATTATTTGTAAAGAGAACTATACACAAGACGAATATCATTTTATTTTGAAGTGTAAAACATATGATGATCTAAGAGCCTAATTTACAACACCAACATATTATACCTATGCTAGATTACAACATTTCGAAATACTTCTACTGATTTAACAAAAATCATCATCATGATAATAAAACCACAGCATATAACATAGAATTGTTATCATTTAATATTTGATTGAACCAAAAAACATATCGAACAGTCAGATGTTACCCCTTCACTTATTTTTGCGTGCTCCGTTGGCATTTATGGAGTCAACTGTAACAAGAGCTGTAACTCTCGCCACTGCAGTGCTTCACCGGACTCGTGTGATTCCATCACCGATCTTGTTTGAATACGGTTTTCAAAAGGCTTCTCCCGACACTCGGTTGTGTTTACATTGTCAGTCACTGTTCGAAACTGAAACATCGCCGCCTTTCGGGCTATTTACAGTCAGGGTGGGGCTTTTACTGATAACACAAACTCATTGGATTACTCTTGGTATAAATTAAAGTTCAATACCGAATACTACATCGTAGCTCTAACATGTATAAATTTAAAAACGCAATGGCACAGTTTAGATCAGAAAGAGAGAAGATAGCATATGTATTATTTGTAAAGAGAACTATATACACGAGACGAATATCATTTTATTTTGAAGTGTAAAACATTTGATGATCTAAGAGCCTAATTTACAAAACCAACATATTATACCTATGCTAGATTACAAAATTTCGAAATACTTCAACTGATTTAACAAAAATCATCATAATGATGATAAAACTACAGCATATAACATAGCATTGTTATCATTTAATATGTGATTGAACCAATAACATATCGAACAGTCAGATGTTACCCCTTCACTTATTATAGCGTGCTCCGTTGGTATTTATGGAGTCAACTGTAACAAGAACTGTAACTCTCGCCACTGCAGTGGTTCACCGGACTCGTGTGATTCCATGACCGGGGCGTGTTCAAGTGGACAGTGCCAGACAGGATGGGCAGGAACAGACTGTGCAGGTGAGAGTATTATAATTAATAAATTGGATGTAGATGACCAAATAGTGTCTTGGTTTGACTCAGGATGGCACTAAACGTTGAAAACGTTAGAAAATAAATGGAAGCGTCAATAAACATTTGTGACATGTGTGGCATTCGTGGTTACATTTTGTAAAAGATACTAAAAGATTTTGTACTAGTAAAATTCATTTTACAATACGAAATTTTGAAAAATTCCTACTGATTTCACAAAAATCATGATGATGATGATGTTAAAACCACAACATATAACATAGCATTGTTATCATTTAATATTTGATTGAACCAATAACATATCGAACAGTCAGATGTTACCCCTTCACTTATTCTTGCGTGCTCCGTTGGCATTTATGGAGTCAACTGTAACAAGAGCTGTAACTCTCGCCACTGCAGTGCTTCACCGGACTCGTGTGATTCCATCACCGATCTTGTTTGCGTACGGTTTTCAAAAGGCTTCTCCCGACACTCGGTTGTGTTTACATTGTCAGTCACTGTTTGAAACTGAAACATCGCCGCCTTTCGGGCTATTTACAGTCAGGGTGGGGCTTTTACTGATAGCACAAACTCATTGGATTACTCTTGGTATAAATTAAAGTTCAATACCGAATACTACATCGTAGCCCTAACATGTATAAATTTAAAAACGCAATGGCACAGTTTAGATCAGAAAGAGAGAAGATAGCATATGTATTATTTGTAAAGAGAACTATACACAAGACGAATATCATTTTATTTTGAAGTGTAAAACATATGATGATCTAAGAGCCTAATTTACAACACCAACTTATCCCGCGATATGCCAAGGAGAGGCACGGGCCACCGAGCCGTGGGTGCCCGTGCCTATAATAAAAACAGAAGATGAGGTTGGGTTAAATGGCCGAGGGTGTGCAGGTACTAATGGACTACTTAGCTGCTAATTGTGTATACGAAAATGCTACCGTTGCCATGGCCACGCGCGTGGCCGACGGCGATTGCAGCTAGCGCTGCTGGCCTGGGACTGCTACCGCTGTCCGGCCCCCACGGTAGCATATTTAAACGCTACCATTGCTTGGCAACTCCCACGCTGCCAAAAGCAGCTCCACGCTGCTGGCCTAAGTCAGACTGCCGCTGCCCGGCCCCAGGTAGCCGGCCAAAGCAGATCACACTGCCCGGCCCCATTAGCAAAACCATTGTGCGGCCCCCGCCGCGGACCCAACTGTCAGCTACCGCTTGACAAGACGACTTCCGCCGCCGGGCCCATATACGTGGCAATTGTTTGCCCCAACGTATGTTATTTTACGATTCCCCGGCTGAAAAGTCGGGAAAGACAAGGTTCCCACTGAGAAGCAGGTAACCCCGGAAAGGTTCCCGCTGAAAAGCAGGTAGCCTTAAGCACGAGTATTAATTTGGAAGCAAGTTAATTTGTTACTAGCAGTGTAGCCCACAAGAACCCCGCCACAAAGCACCCGAGTGCTACCCCACACCCACGGCCACGCGATACGCGGAGATAGCATTGTTGCCCGGCTTGCCTATGTACTGAAAGGAAACACTAACCTGTGGAGATAATATCCTTACTGGCGCAAAACGAGCGCCAGGGCATGCAATAAATTGTCCGTAAACACACACAGTCCTTTGTCGCTGAGGTGGACGCCCTCCCAGGCGTACCATGTCTTGTCTGATGCCAGGATCTGGGGATGTGGCACCATTGTACCGCCGAGCTCTTTGACTCGGTTGGCCAGTCGGCGGTTGATATTCTTCCGCATCCCCTCGATCTTTAGTGGGTCCCTGGCATCGTGCCAGTAGCGCCTGGGCAGCATTGAGGATACGATGATCCTGGTGTCAGGAAGCTGGAGTTGTATCCGAAGGATTGATGCCACCATGTCAAGGTAGAGTTGGCTGCCCTTGACCGAGCACAGGTCGTTGGAGCCCAGGTGAATGATGAGGGCTCTGGGGCTGCGCCGTGTCGCCTTGACCTGTGCATCCAGAATGGTGTCCAGCTCCTTCCACCTCATCCCCCCTCGTGCCAGCCATAGCATCCTCGGTTGGTTCGGACTGGTGCCCTTCAGGAGCAAGTACTGCCGTGCCCTGGCCATGTAGCTGGATCCCACCATCCAAACTGTAAACAATAAGAAGTGTAGTAAGTACCATGAAAGACTATTTGAATTAATTGTGCAACGTTGAATTTGTTGGTAGGCGTATGTAAGCATTGTAGCAATCTGATTTCCACCTGCCGTATTGTTGTATGAGGTGTTCGGGCACCCCGTTCATGGCTGCTGATGTGGCTGCCCCAATGCGGAAGGAGTGCGAAGAATAGCAGGCCGTGTTTATGTTGCTGTGTGCTAAGGCCTTTTTTAGGAGTGCCTGGAATTGGTACCTTGTAACGGGGAATGGTCAAAGTGGACGAATGCATGTTGTGGACCGGAGAGGCGCGCCTCCAGGTAGTGCTTGATGGCGACTACCGGACATAGCGGGTTACCTGGTATAGGTGACATTGTAACTGTTGTCCCCATCCTGTACTGATCGGACTTTGAGTGTGGTAAATGGATTGCAAGCTGCTGGGGGTTGCCCGAGAAGCTTAGATTCTGGATGGCGCAACCTGTTTTTGAGGGTCCAGTTTGGACCAGTTCGCTAACCCTAAAGAAACCGAAGAAGGCTGTGCAGTAGACTGCCTTGAACAGCCTGGCTTCATATGCTGATGAGCATACGTGAGGCAGATTGTTGGTTACTACCTGCAGCAGATCTGCAGTGATCGGTTTTCTGGTGTCTGGACGGCCCGCTGATTTGTGTAAGCCAGTTACAATCTTGCCTACCAGGAAATGGTTTGTACAGTCGGTGAGCCCGTGGAATTTGTGGTGCGAAGACAGCGCTGCAATGTAAGTCTTGACTGTGTTGGGGGAGTGGTGAGTGACTGACAGATAAGCAATAAAGTTTACGACCTGATCCAGCGGGACTGGCCACACCCCTTGTAGCTGGTGTGCGGACCGGAACTGGTGCAAGGCATTGATGCCTGTTTGGTAAGTGGCCCATGTATTAGTAGACAGAGATTGTTGTAGGAGTCTGCCGGCTTCCTGCCTCGGATCAGCCATATGTTGCACGGGATAGGTGTGGGGTTCTGGTCCGCGGCTGGTGCTGCCTCTCGGAAGCGTTTGAGCTGAAACCTCGAGAGAGCATCGGCAATAGTGTTAGCAGTGGAACATACATACTTTCCCTTAAACATAATATTATATCGGAGGCACTGCAGGATTAGGCGACGGAGTAGGCTCATCACTCTGGGGGCCTTGGTTGACTGCTTGTTGTTTATTGTTACGACGGCTTGGTTGTCGCAGTAAAAGAGGACCTTTTTGTTTGCGAGTTGCTTGCCCAAGATTTGGATGGCCAGTGTGATGGGGAACAGCTCCAGGAGCGTCAAGTCCCGTGTAGTTCCATCCGTCACCCACTGGGTTGGCCATGCGCCGTTAAACCATTTGCCCTGCATGTAGGCCCAAAAGCCGGCGCCGCCCGCTGCGTCTGAAAACAGCTGGAGGAAATCGCTGTCCACCCATAGTTGGTCCTGAAACACTGAAATGCCGTTGTAACTCGTAAGAAATGTTAACCACATTTGTAGGTCTTCCTTGACCCAGCTGGTAATCCTAATGTGGTGAAATGGTTGCTTACCTTTGCTAAGCAGATCGATTAGCCTGCGGCTGAATGCCCTTGCCATTGGTATAGCCCTGCACATAAAGTTAAGCTTGCCTATGAGGGACTGAAGGGCCCTTTTTGTGACCTTGATGTTACCTGTTGACAGGATGTCTTGGATTTCCCTTGTTGCCTCCTTGATCTTGGGATCTGGGATTCTGATCTGCATTGCAATGGTGTCGATTTCCAGCCCTAGGAATGTCAGTTTGGTTGTGGGGCCCACCGTCTTGTCGTGCGCAATAGGAACCCCAAGCTGTTCAAGTGTATTCACGCATCCGTTGAGGTTGTCTGAGCAGTGGCTGGAGCCTGCTGTGCCTCCCGTTAGGAAGTCGTCCAGGTAATGCATGATCGGACGCGTTGGAAGATGCGATTGCATGCACCATTGCAAGAAGGTACTAAACGTTTCAAATATGGCGCAAGATATGGAGCAGCCAAATGGTAAGCATTTATCGAAATAGAACTCACCTTCGAATCTGATGCCTAGCAGCTCGAAATCGTATTGGTGGACTGGTATAATTCTAAAGGCCGACTGAATGTCGAATTTTGCTAGTAGTGCTCCCTTTCCCAGTTGTTGAACCATATGGGTAGCTTCATCAAATCTGGCGTACACGACGGAGCAGGCCTCTGTGTCTATGAAGTCATTTATAGATTTACCCCTGGGATAGGATAGATGGTGAATTAGACGGAATTCCTCCGCATGCTTACCCAGGTGCTGACCATATCTTGGCTGCTTCTTGGGCACCAGGCCTATTGGGGATACTTGGAGGTTGTCTAGGGGGGTGTCCTTGAAGGGGCCCGCCATCCTGCCAAGGTCGACTTCCTTTTGTAGTTTTTGTTTCACGTAGCCTGCCGTGTCTTGGTGCGTGGCTGATCGCAAGTTTCGTGCCAGGCGACCCGTGCGGCTTCCCTGGAACTCGAGCTTAAAGCCAAAGCTAAAACCTACCCATAAATAATTTGCATCTCTGTAATTGACCCTAGCGTATTGGCGTAACCAAGGTGCCATTTCATTGAGGTCCACGGGGGAAGGGGCCATTGAATTTACCTGCCTTGCCGGGTTGTTTTCTGTTAGGAAAAGGCTTATTGGGCTTGTATGGGGTCGATTGGACCCCATTCCCTCGAAAGCAGGTCCTAGAGCTATGGGAATGTTTGCCACACTTACCGCATTTGTGAGTGTACTTACAGTTAACCCTGCTACAGCCAAATTTATTGAAATCCCAGCATGCCTGACTGGCGATGTCCCCCTGTACGCGTGTCATTGCGCCCCGTCCGCCTGATTCTGGTTGTCGTACCGGCTGTGTTACCATGTACTTCAGCCACAACTCCCCGTCGATGTTGTCCCAGCGTCGTGAGGGGTCCCTTGACATTCTGTGTCGGAATTGTTGGTCGTAGGTTGACCAGGCATCCCCCCCGAATCGAAGTGCCGCCGTCCTTATGGTTTCCATGTAGGACAGCAACCCCTGGGTTGTGCGGACCTCGGAGTGCCTACTAACATATATACACATGAAAATGTGGAAAGCTGAAGTCCAGCTCGCCAGGGACAGACGCTTTGGTTGCTGCTTAATTGGTTTAAAAATTACCTTACCTGAGGAGTCGTACGCCATGGTAATCGTACCGTCCTCGTGACCTCCCTCGTTGTTTGGGAGTATTGTGCCGAGGTCGACATACTCGCCACGCCAGATTTTTTCCCTCACCTGTTGTTTGACGTGCGCGTCTATCCCGTCCGCACGGAAAGAAAGGGAATCCCCGTATCCTGCGGTGTGATTGGCTGGCCAAGCCGCGTCACCGTCGGCCTCGTTGAGGGCATCGGGGATTCTCCCTATGTTGGGCGAAATGGCGGGCGAACTAAAACCACGCCTTACCTGTTGGTTTGCGCTAACCGGGCCAGGCGCTGAATGTTCCAGCAACTGGAGTATTCTTTCCAGTTGCTCGTTTACCTGGGTAGCCGAGTTGGCAGCCTGTGCGGCATTTACAAGCTGCGCCGATTGTACGTTAATTCTGTTGCCACCTTCGATATTGCCGTAATTGGCAGACTCACCCTCAGCTGTTGCCTCCTGTACAATGTGTACTCCAGGGGTTTGTCTTCTGGTTGTCCTGGGCTGCTCGGCTCCCCTCACCAGCTTGTGGTTGACGGTTGCTCTTCTCTTGGGAGGCATCACGAAAGGTCGAGGTGGTGAGTTGGTATTCCACAAGCGTAAATTGTCCCGAGGGTGAAGTTCGGGAGTAGAACGGAATAAATGCGATACGGCGAGTGCTGAAAATAGATCGTATTTAAAGCGTAATCGGCGAAACGGTCGCGATTGTGTAAATGCGATACGGCGAGTGTTGGAATAGATGGTATTCGAAGCGTAATCGACAAAACGGTCGCGACTTGGTACAAAAGAAAGCGATTAGCTGCAGTGACACACGTGTGTACTTGGGGAAGGGTGTCTCGCGAATGACCGAACAAAGGGGCGGGATGATGCTTGCGCGGGATTATTCCCCGGGCACGGTGCCGAGTGGTGGCCCGGGGTGATTGGGTTACGAGGGGTGGTTGGGTTACAGACGTAATTAGCCCATGGTTTGGATACGCGCGATAAAGTCATTTAGTCGTTAGTACTAAATGTAAATATTATACCTATGCTAGATTACAAAATTTCGAAATACTTCTACTGATTTAACAAAAATCATCATCATGATGATAAAACCACAGCATATAACATAGAATTGTTATCATTTAATATTTGATTGAACCAAAAAACATATCGAACAATCAGATGTTACCCCTTCATTTATTTTTGCGTGCTCCGTTGGCATTTATGGAGTCAACTGTAACAAGAGCTGTAACTCTCGCCACTGCAGTGCTTCACCGGACTCGTGTGATTCCATCACCGATCTTGTTTGAATACGGTTTTCAAAAGGCTTCTCCCGACACTCGGTTGTGTTTACATTGTCAGTCACTGTTCGAAACTGAAACATCGCCGCCTTTCGGGCTATTTACAGTCAGGGTGGGGCTTTTACTGATAACACAAACTCATTGGATTACTCTTGGTATAAATTAAAGTTCAATACCGAATACTACATCGTAGCCCTAACATGTATAAATTTAAAAACGCAATGGCACAGTTTAGATCAGAAAGAGAGAAGATAGCATATGTATTATTTGTAAAGAGAACTATACACGAGACGAATATCATTTTATTTTGAAGTGTAAAACATTTGATGATCTAAGAGCCTAATTTACAAAACCAACATATTATACCTATGCTAGATTACAAAATTTCGAAATACTTCTACTGTTTTAACAAAAATATCATAATGAAGATAAAACTACAGCATATAACATAGCATTGTTATCATTTAATATGTGATTGAACCAATAACATATCGAACAGTCAGATGTTACCCCTTCACTTATTATAGCGTGCTCCGTTGGCATTTATGGAGTCAACTGTAACAAGAACTGTAACTCTCGCCACTGCAGTGGTTCACCGGACTCGTGTGATTCCATGACCGGGGCGTGTTCAAGTGGACAGTGCCAGACAGGATGGGCAGGAACAGACTGTGCAGGTGAGAGTATTATAATTAATAAATTGGATGTAGATGACCAAATAGTGTCTTGGTTTGACTCAGATTGGCACTAAACGTTGAAAACGTTAGAAAATAAATGGAAACGTCAATAAACATTTGTGACATGTGTGGCATTCGTGGTTACATTTTGTAAAAGATACTAAAAGATTTTGTACTAGTAAAATTCATTTTACAATACCAAATTTTGAAATTCCTACTGATTTCACAAAAATCATGATGATGATGATGTTAAAACCACAACATATAACATAGCATTGTTATCATTTAATATTTGATTGAACCAAAAAACATATCGAACAGTCAGATGTTACCCCTTCACTTATTTTTGCGTGCTCCGTTGGCATTTATGGAGTCAACTGTAACAAGAGCTGTAACTCTCGCCACTGCAGTGCTTCACCGGACTCGTGTGATTCCATCACCGATCTTGTTTGCGTACGGTTTTCCAAAGGCCTCCCCCGGCACTCGGTTGTGTTTACATTGTCAGTCACTGTTCGAAACTGAAACATCGCCGCCTTTCGGGCTATTTACAGTCAGGGTGGGGCTTTTACTGATAGCACAAACTCATTGGATTACTCTTGGTATCAATTAAAGTTCAATACCGAATACTACATCGTAGCCCTAACATGTATAAATTTAAAAACGCAATGGCACAGTTTAGATAAAAAAGAGAGAAGATAGCATATGTATTATTTGTAAAGAGAACTATACACAAGACGAATATCATTTTATTTTGAAGTGTAAAACATATGATGATCTAAGAGCCTAATTTACAAAACCAACATATTATACCTATGCTAGATTACAAAATTTCGAAATACTTCTACTGATTTAACAAAAATCATCATAATGATGATAAAACCACAGCATATAATATAGCATTGTTATCATTTAATATTTGATTGAACCAATAATATAACGAAAAGTTAGATGTTACCCTTCACTTATTCTAGCGTGCTCCGTTGGCATTTATGGAGTCAACTGTAACAAGAACTGTAACTCTCGCCACTGCAGTGGTTCACCGGACTCGTGTGATTCCATGACCGGGTTGTGTTCAAGTGGACAGTGCCAGACAGGATGGGCAGGAACAGACTGTGCAGGTGAGAGTATTATAATTAATAAATTGGATGTAGATGACCAAATAGTGTCTTGGTTTGACTCAGGATGGGACTAAACGTTGAAAACGTTAGAAAATAAGTGGAAACGTCAATAAACAATATTTGTGACATGTGTGGCATTCGTGGTTACATTTTGTAAAATATACTAAAAGATTTTGTACTAGTAAAATTCATTTAACAATACCAAATTTTGAAAAATTCCTACTGATTTCACAAAAATCATGATGATGATGTTAAAACCACAACATATAACATAGCATTGTTATCATATAATATTTGATTGAACCAATAACATATCGAACAGTCAGATGATACCCCTTCACTTATTCTAGCGTGCTCCGTTGGCATTTATGGAGTCAACTGTAACAAGAACTGTAACTCTCGCCGCTGCAGTGGTTCACCGGACTCGTGTGATTCCATGACCGGGGCGTGTCCAGGTGGACAGTGCCAGACAGGATGGGCAGGAACAGACTGTGCAGGTGAGAGTATTATAATTAATAAATGGAATGACCAAATAGTGTCTTGTTTTGACTCAGAGTGGGCCTAAACGTTGAAAACGTTTTCTAACGTTACATAAGTAGAAACGTCAATAAACATCTGTGACATGTGTGGCATTTCTGGTTACATTTTGTAAAAACGTATCAGTACAATTTATTTTACAATACCAAATTTGAAAATACTCCTACTGACTTCACAAAAATCAACATCATGATGTTAAAACCACAACATATAACATAGCATTGTTATCATTTAATATGTGATTGAACGAATAACATATCGAACAGTTAGATGTTACCCCTTCACTTATTATAGCGTGCTCCGTTGGCATTTATGGAGTCAACTGTAACAAGAACTGTAACTCTCGCCACTGCAGTGGTTCACCGGACTCGTGTGATTCCATGACCGGGGCGTGTTCAAGTGGACAGTGCCAGACAGGATGGGCAGGAACAGACTGTGCAGGTGAGAGTATTATAATTAATAAATTGGATGTAGATGACCAAATAGTGTCTTGGTTTGACTCAGGATGGCACTAAACGTTGAAAACGTTAGAAAATAAGTGGAAACGTCAATAAACATTTGTGACATGTGTGGCATTCGTGGTTACATTTTGTAAAAGATACTAAAAGATTTTGTACTAGTAAAATTCATTTTACAATACCAAATTTTGAAAAAGTCCTACTGATTTCACAAAAATCATGATTATGATGTTAAAAACACAACATATAACATAGCATTGTTATCATTTAATATTTGATGGAACCAATAACATATCGAACAGTCAGATGTTACCCCTTCACTTATTTTTGCGTGCTCCGTTGGCATTTATGGAGTCAACTGTAACAAGAGCTGTAACTCTCGCCACTGCAGTGCTTCACCGGACTCGTGTGATTCCATCACCGATCTTGTTTGCGTACGGTTTTCAAAAGGCTTCTCCCGACACTCGGTTGTGTTTACATTGTCAGTCACTGTTCGAAAATGAAACATCGCCGCCTTTCGGGCTATTTACAGTCAGGGTGGGGCTTTTACTGATAGCACAAACTCATTGGATTACTCTTGGTATAAATTAAAGTTCAATACCGAATACTACATCGTAGCCCTAACATGTATAAATTTAAAAACGCAATGGCACAGTTTAGATCAGAAAGAGAGAAGATAGCATATGTATTATTTGTAAAGAGAACTATACACAAGACGAATATCATTTTATTTTGAAGTGAAAAACATATGATGATCTAAGAGCCTAATTTACAACACCAACATATAATACCTATGCTAGATTACAAAATTTCGAAATACTCCTACTGACTTCACAAAAATCATCATCATGATGTTAAAACCACAACATATAATATAGCATTGTTATCATTTAATATTTGATTGAACCAAAAAACATATCGAACAGTCAGATGTTACCCTTTACTTATTCTAGCGTGCTCCGTTGGCATTTATGGCGTCAACTGTAACAAGAACTGTAACTCTCGTTTTATATCAGATGTATATACGACAGGAAACTGATTTTTTGTGACCAGTTATCTGAATTAATTGATTTGGCGAAACATTAGTGTCATTCAACTTTTACAAAGGTGTTTACACGCAGAGTGATTAGTGACTCGTTTCGATGTGTGGCGGTATCACATATGTTTTTCATGTGAGAACAAAGTTTGTTTTCCCATTACGATATCGGATAAACCACTGATCACCAGGTTTAGGCATGCCTAAAGTGTGTGTGCCAATTTATAAGGGATCGTTATCTGGACAGAAGTCGAGCGGACGCGTGGAGTCATACAACCTATACACCTGCGCCAGGGCACGTCGTGACAATCAAGAGAAGTCTTGTTTCATGGACAGTACAAGATACTCTTTATCGCCTCCATCAACATGCAAAGTGATGCCCTTTTACTGTTAGATGATTGGATGCTCAGTGTCTGAAATGGGACGTCACATTCAAATTCACTAACCATTGAACGATTGATATAAAGACACTGTTCACATATTCACACGGATCCTTTAGAAGATAGTTCTTTTGTATCTTGAAATAAACGGGTAATCATGCATTTTTGATATTTTAGTTTTGATATGATAGTTATATTTACCAGCATGCGCCTCTAAGTATTATCGAGCTAGCTGTAACTAATCATGTGCTGCACGTCACTGCAAGATAACGGCGAACTGTGATGATAAGATACAAGGGCAGTGTTTTGGTGGATGTGCGGATGGGTGTAGACTGTACTCAAGGTAACCTTTTCAACATATTTCGTTACTTGAATAACATATTACAAAAATACATTACGAAGAAAAAAAGAAAACTTTATAGTGCTTTTATCGATTTTTAAAAAGGTGTTTGATTTTGTAAATAGACAACAATTACTGTACAATTTGTTTAATAATGGTATCCTTAGCAAGTTTTACAAGTTGTTGAAAATATGTATCTTAATGTTACATCCACAGTATTATGTAACCATGGGAAAAAGTTTTCCAAATACTTTACCTGCCAGTGGTGTTAAACAAGGCTGGATTATGAGTCCGATAATATAATTCTCTCTGTTTATAAAGAAATTGGCTCTGTATATAAATGATAGTTTTCAGGATGGGATTTTTATTTCGGAGGAAATGTTTAATATCATAGAATTACTATTTGCAGACGAACTTATTTTTGTCGCAGATAAGTGTACTGGTCTACAGAACAGATTACATGTTCTTTAACAATATTATGATAAATGGGGTATGGAAGTTGATGTAGATAAGACCGAAATTAATTTTTTTAATTACGGTGGGCCTTTGTCAAGATATGAAAATGATCATTAAATGACAACCAATTGAACACTGTAAGTAGTTATAAGTATTTAGGATTGATAGTCACCCCCAAATTGATATGGACGAAAGCTTGTATAATTTTTCAGAAAAGGCAAACAAAGCCAAATTTCCAGTAAAATCAATAATAAGGAAATTTGACATATCCTTGAATAATGCATTTGAAATATTTGACAGAAAAATAAGCCCCATCGTAATGTATGGTACTGAATTTTGGGGGTTTGTTTATAGAGACATTGTTGAAATTAACCACAGAACATTTCGTAAAGTTTTGTTTGGAGTTTGAAAAAGATTTCCGAATGCAGCTACATATTGGGAATGGGGGAGACTCCAGTTGAATAGTTCTATTTATTATTTTAGATGTATTATATATTGGTTACAGCTAATTATGATAGATAATGATAGATATCCTTTTCAATGTGATCTGGTGAAAAACTTGTGACAGACACCACCCAAATTGGTCCACCAATGTGAAACATTTACTTCATAGATATGGTTTTGGATATGCCTGGACAGCACATGTTGTAGGTAACACAGATTCGTTCATCCAATTATTTAAGCAAAGATATATAGATTGCAACGTCCAAGATTGGCACTCTTCAACGATAACTAATCCCTGCTTGGTATTTTATTCATGCCATTCAGCCATCCTTTCAACTTGAAAAAATATGTAGTAAATATTAACATCACCAAGTATAGAATTACACTGCTAAAATAAGAGTCGGTTATTTGCTATTCAGAAATATAAAAGCAGGTCTGGTGATGTAGAGAACGAGTTTCTGTGCCGAGAATATAAATTTACTTGAAGATGAAGCGCACGTAATTCTCAATTGTCCTCTGTAATCACAGATAAGAAGTTCATATTTGTCAGCATAAGAACATATCAACACATTAGTTTGTCATGACATGGTAAGCATGTTCAACTCTGATAATGATGTGATGGTCTTTGATATAGCAAAGTACCTTTTTACACATGTTCTGTATAAGAAAAGAATTGTAGTTTTTTTATGATTACTACATATATTGATGGATTGAATATTACAAGTGGTTATCATAATATGTATGCAGTCACACCTTACATATGCTGTAAATGTGTGAGTCACATGACTTTACATGACTTTATCTGTAAAATATTTGTAAAATATTGCCTCCTACTGCATATTTTGAAATAAGATGCTTATTATGAATTTAGCGATGGAAGAATGTTTTTATCTGAAAAAGTATAATTGGTACCCATCGATTGAAATAGGACTTGATGAACTACTTACAGTCTGCTTCAATGACACACTGGCTATTAGATCGTTAGATCGTGAAGATCTATAAGAAAATTAATAATAAGGAGAACACATGTTCTTTCTTGTCAGAAAGCATGTGCACCACTCGTAAAACAATATCAATTTTGTCAGGTCACTTGATGAGTTAACATGTTATTTGGCAAGAATAACTTTCTGAATACTTATACATATAAATGATTACCATTAATATCGGTAGCATGTCACAGTGATCTAATTTGAACATGTATCATGCTATAAGTTCGTTGCTGCACTGAGACATCACTTTGGGCTTACATGCTGTGTAGCACAAGGAAAACTGAAATTACCCCACAAGGTCATACACCTGTAACACTTCAAAACCAAGATAATGAATAAGAGAATGTTCAATATCACCATCTCATTCTTGATTGTCGAGGGTGCTACTGGTAGGGCAGGATATGTTACGTTGTTCCCTCCACACCTGATGTCATCACTTTTACTGCTCTCCGTGGGTAATCCTGTTTAGAAAAGGTCCCCAGCAACATATGCTGGTCGTTAGAGGCATTAAATAGATCTCGGGGTCAGGCTCTGTGACGAAATGATTGCATGTCATCGTACCCCGATCGCGTGTGACGTTGATCATACTGTCAGTCACCGAGTGTTCTGGTCAAGCTGGGATAGTGCTTGTTGTGGCGTTAAACCTTAAACTAACAAACACAGTAACATCATACTTCTTCATGAGCGAATGTGTCTTGCTGATCCCTCATGTTTTTGGTAACGAAAAAGGATTATATTGATGTTTACTATAAATTGTAGACTAATTATATTGATTTGTTAATGAGCGCCGCCATGTTAATCGTTATATATTCTGCTTGCAGTCAAGTTGTGATTCTATGGGCGCCCGTGTTAGAATAACGGAGAAATCTGACCATTTGGAAAATTAAATGTGAACTTGTTCTAGGGCGCAGATACATTCAATCAAATTCATTAAATTTTTTTATGCAAAGATCCAATATAATGTCCCTAGTCTTTATCCAAAAGTATATGATAAGCATTACGATATTATTTTGTTATTAAAGCACATTGCATTAAAGTGTTGTTTTTTTAAGTGAGTATATAGTTTGGTCCAATGTTTGATCTTTGATGAAGAAAATAGATAAGGTCGAAATAGTTATGGACGTATATATACATTATGATTGGTTTGTTTGTTTGTTGTTTAACGCCGCACTTTATGACGGCGGTCTGTAAAATAACCGAGTCTGGACCAGACAATCCAGTGATTGACACCATGAGCATCGATGCACGCACTTGAGATCGATGACATCCACCAAGTCATTGAGCCTGACCAACCGATCCCGTTAGTCGCCTCTTAAGACAAGCATAGTCGCCTTTTACGGCAAGCATGGGTTGCTGAAGACCTATTCTATCCCGGATCTCCACGGGTCTATACATGAAACACAAGGTCCAGTAATTGTATCTCAGCAATCCAACCGTTATACTATGCAATATGTAGCTGAAATATATACAGCTGTTGATCTTCTTATTATAATTAGGCTGTGACAATGGGAAATTCGGGTTGAACTGTGAGAGTGACTGCGGTCACTGTAACGGGACATGCGATGGTGTTGACGGAAGATGTCTCTGGGGATGTACTGAGGGATACAATGGTTCTCACTGCTCTGTAAAATTCAGTAAGTGATCTCATACAGCTCATAATCAATGGCATGATCCTCAGAGAACAGCTGCTGGTTACAAGGCATCAGGAATAAAATATATTTCTGAAATATTCCGAGCACAAGTTCGTGACACAATGTTTACGATGGTTTACATATATTATTTACAACCGAGCATGTAATACAATCTGTGATTTTATTGCCTTGGCCTATGTCAGACAGGTTAGAGTGAACCATACAGAAGAAACAAATTTCTTATTCTAAAGTTAAAGGTGGATTAAAACGAAAACAAAATACATAAACTATCCTGTCCCTTTCTGATTGGAAGAAAATTAGGAGCGCCTGCTAGTACCCAAAGCTTCCTCAAACAAAAGTTTGAAAATTCTTTTCAGAATCTATGGGTAATATCAGCAATCCAACTGTTATACTATGCAATATGTAGCTGAAATATATACAACTGTTGATTTTCTTATTATAATTAGGCTGTGACAATGGGAAATTCGGGTTGAACTGTGAGAGTGACTGCGGCCACTGTAACGGGACATGCGATGGTGTTGACGGAAGATGTCTCTGGGGATGTACTGAGGGATACAATGGTTCTCGCTGCTCTGTAAAATTCAGTAAGTGATCTCATACAGCTCATAATCAATGGCATGATCCTCAGAGAACAGCTGCTGGTTACAAGGCATCAGGAATAAAATATATTTCTGAAATATTACGAGCGCAAGTTCGTTTCACAATGTTTACGATGGTTTACATATATTATTAACAATCGAGCATGAGTAGAAAGCCATGATACCTCTGCAATGCTACATAAGACCATCGCATATTGGAGTATGGCATGCGGCTGATACAATCCATAGACGTTATTTCAATCCTATAACATCTGACGAATGACTGTGACAGTTATCCGCTGTTACCAACTTTGTGCAAGTCATGTTGAGCTAAGTTGTCCTCGGGGTCATATGTGTTGGCACTAGACAACATCAAGACACACAACAAGAAACTGATTCGTCACGCTCTTCATAAGAAATAGAACTTCTAACTGTCCACTTGGTAACTGTTGTATCAGTGACGAAAATAGCACAACTATCTTGGTACTGCTATTGCTATGCTAGTACATGCAAGCAGTTTGATGATGTATTTTAAGTTGTTCCTGAATATTATGTGTATACCAATACTGTGAATTAATATATTTTCCACCAGTGCCCAATCTTTCCAAATTATGTCCAAAGGATCCACCGTCTTTGGTATCAAGTGAACCTGGAATTAAAGACAGTTGTCCGGTGTTTCATCATATTCAACTGATGATGCAATGGTTTCACTGCTGTGTTAATTTCTTGTCAATGTGGACATTGCTGCTGGGACCAGGATAACCCTCAGCTTCGTCTGATCACGATCTCAAAAGTGCTCACGCTTCCAAATGTCATCATTAGCATATATTGATAAACATTTATGTAACGAGGCACAACTGTTTCTCACGTTATCGATTTAATATATAAAAACGTTTCATTAAAGTTTGTCTTTTTTAGGAATATGAATATGTAATCACTTTCTTATCTCCTCTTGTGGTGTAAGGGTTATATTAGCATTAGTGATATTGTCGTAATTGAACTTAACTATAATATACCAGTACATGTTGCACATAGCTCATTTTTCAGCTCGTCTTAATGGAAAAGACACACCAGAATTTCCTGGATCAGCTGTAGTGGGGACAGTCGCAGGAGTATTTGTTGCCATCATAATCGTGGTTGTTGTTGTCGTTGTCATAAGGTAAACCATCTACATCTAGAGCTTCGTCTACCTTCATATATGTATGTATATCCTGTTTATTCACGGGGCGGTCGGGTAGTGGTGAAAGCGTCACGCCGAAGACCCGGGTCCAATTTTCGACATGGGCACAATGTCTGAAGCCCATTTTTTTGTGATATTGCTGGAATATTGCAAAAAGCGGCGAAAAATTAAACTCACCCACTTACTGTTTGTTCATACGTATCTTCTTAGCTGTTGCACACTATTCTACAAAATACGTACTGTACGTTTCAATAGCGGCAATTAGTGGTCTAGAGATTGATGATACGATGATTTTAATAAAAGCAAGACTGAATATGTTCGACTTACTTTCTCTCACTCGGCGCCTTGACATACCTTTTATTTTACGTTTACAATGAGTAGATTAATATGTAAAACAATGAATCCAGATATTTGTGCTTGTCGAAACTCATTTTTGCACACACGATCTTTTGCCGCTCTACGACTTTTCAGATGTATGTATATATGGCGTGATAGAAAAATGCACCTACAAATGCCATGAAAAATGGATAATGGTGTTTCTGTAAGTGACATATGCAATAGGTAATTTGGTCTTAATGAGGTAATAAAACACGATTCGTTAGTATTCACATATTATATAATCTCTTCACGATTGATATAATCTCATATGCTAACAATGTATCAATACGCGCGCCTCACTAACAATAATATATATTGTCTAATTTGGAAACTGGATTGTGACTGGATAGTCTTTTTAATTTTTTCCAAGCAGAATGCACTGGCTATGGTATGTGCATCTACGAACTCTAATATTCTTCGTACATAATAGGCCTACGAAGTCCAATTAATACAATAATTAAATATCTATTCATCGACAGTCACATAATGGTGATAGACTATGTTACATCGTGTATCAAGTTTCTTGAGTTCTATTGGTACAACGACCATGCAGTTCATGAATTGAGCTTTTCCCATATGTACCAATTACTGTTGCAAGGCTTTCAGTACATCTTTGGTTCTTCTAGCCTTACGACCACACAATCATAGTTTACCTATAGAGCTGTTAGTGTATGTGTCAATTAATTGTAGGCCTACTGGGCTTGGTTATGACTTACTTACTGATGTAAGACCACTGGTCAGTACATTCTGTATTTTTACCCTTAGTTCATGATGGTCAGACAGTATTTTTTCTGCGGAGACGTTATTGCTAAAGATATCACCACAACCTCGGGTATTATAATCACTAATAATTTCATGTTGTTTCTAATATGTTACTACCGTATAACAAAATCTGATTTTATTGATGCAGGAGGAGGCAGAGGTTTCTTGACAGCAACAGCAATGAGCAAATTGCAGAGTTTCACCCTAAAGCACAAGGTTAGAACCGCTCAGGGAACTATAACTCTTTTGGTCCATCATGTCTACATAATTTATTAAATAAGGATCGAGACATGTTCATTTAAATGCGGGTTTGCACTAATTCTACAGTCGTGCTAAGGTGCGAATGAGATTTTCAGTGAGCTCATTTGTAAATATTTGAACACGAGTAAGTCTTTGAGTCAAGCTGTATATGTAGGAGGGGTAGGTTAACGAAGAAACAACGAATGGTGAAAAGGGTTTTCAACACAATACACGTGTTCGTTAGTTTCATCGATATGGTACACGTCTGAGACCTGCATGACATCGGGCTTTCCTCACACATTAAGCTGACACGTCGTGATGTAACTGTAATACTCTTCAAAACGGCGTAACACCCAACTCACTCTTAATTCCATGTAGTCAAAGGGATATGTGCTTCTTAGATGACTATGCTGCAGTTTCAGTGTTGAAAAATTTTGATTTAAGCACACCTTATTCAATGATGAAATGGATTACGTAAGAATTATCGCAATATCACACGAATTTTATAAAGGAAAAAGTACAAATTCCCTCTATCCATCGGACCTAATTTATTCATGTGATGATAACTTTCTATCTTTGAAGAGGACGGCACTTATGAAAACGTAACTCTAGATGACAGGAATGCAGTTAATCAGAAACCACTGATAAAGCCCAAACCTGCCACACAGGCCTCGTCAGATAAACAGCATAAATCTAATGACAAAGATCAGGAGGAAGAAGACTTTGATGAAGACGTTCAATCTCCTGAAAGCTGTTACTACAACGCAGACGCCGATGCCGCCATAAGAGACGTCGCTGTGTCAGAACTAGCTGCGACGGTTGCAACACTTAAGGACAGAACAGATGGATTTGAAAAAGAATATCACGTGGGTTTTATAGTTAGAAGTTCATCACATTACATTCCTAGGTTGTCTGAGTGATGTAAAGAGAAACTGTGTACCAAAGCATATTACACAACAATATTTGTCAGGGTGATTATTATTCATGACTTCTCAGATCTGCACTTCCTGTTTGTTTGTATTGTCCATACAGCGACTACCGACTGGATTCACGGCGCCCTATCGAGATTCCCAGAAACCCGAGAACAATGGCAAAAACAAGTTCAGAGGCTACTACCCCTGTAAGTAAAACTGAAATTTGTAATTTACATGAGAAGATATAGGGATTAAGGTTATGTTAAACTCCAATAAACGATGTAGATACCAACAGTTTAAGCAGCTAAATTCTACGTTTCAGACGACCATAACCGAGTCCGCCTGGCATCGTTCCCAGACACTCCCGGGTCTGACTACATCAACGCAAGTCTCATGCACGTCTGTATTGTACTGATATGTTCATATCATTTCATTAAATAGCATGTCGTACTAACTACTTCACTATTACGTTTGAAAGCTCGCTAATCCTGACACGAGAAAAAAATCATCAAGACCAACATATTTCTGGATTAACACCTAAAAGTGTAGCATATTAACTCCCTAAAACAATGTCAAAGCAGCGACTTGTCGGTACACACAATATATCTTCAGGTGATAAATGTGGATGGCTGCAAGGTTTAACTATCTGACTGCCCTGTTGCTTTGTTTCAGAGCTACAACCAGAGGAAGACATACATTGCATCTCAAGGTGAACTGTTTGTACTTGAATGTTTTAGGGTGTATTATTTTTATTTGACAGTTGCTTAATTTGTTGATAGTATCAGCTATACACAAACTTGTATACCTAACCACGATTAAAAAGTAGACAATCATCTTATCGTGTACTTATGTTCATGTTCATTATTATTGGGAAATAAGCCTTAAGGGGAGGTTTGACATGTGTATGGAATTATATCATATACTTAGAAAATAAAAGAAGATGTGAAATAATGTATTACAGTACACCAATCAATTGAAAGCGTTCCTCTTTGAAAACCACCCACCGTTTTGTGCATCTAGCTCCCAACAAGAAGACAGTGGGAGACTTCTGGAGAATGATCTGGGAACAGTCCTGCAGCCATGTAGTCATGTTGACTGGTCTGATGGAGGAGTGTAGGGTAAGATTGAATGTTATGTAAGATTCCATTTCAAATTTTACCAAACCAAACTATCAAAGCATATTAGGTAAAGAAACACCAATGGTCATTTCAATTATTTCTAAATTTTAGATCAAATGTGAACGATACTGGCCGACAGGTGGCGTCATGGACATTGGTCTCTTCAAAATAGAGGTGGAAGTAACACAAAGCCGCGCGAACTTCACAACGAGACACATGAAAGTCACGTCCAACACAGTGAGTGCTGACAAAACCGACTACACTGAATATCTTCAACTTTCCAGTAGTAGTATAGGTAATGATGGTTCTGCCGCAACTCCACTGGAGCTGGATTTATTTACCAATACTGCTACTACAGATGGAATTTTTTATGCTAACATGACTATGCGATTCAATGATAGTCATGATATTAAGTTAAATTGGCTCTAGCTCACCAATACCTGGGGCCAATCATTGCTTCAGATGAGTCTAAATGGTAATAAAAATATTCTTCATTATTTTTATCAATAAAGCGATATTCAACATTTTAATTAAGTTTTTCGTTCATTTTACTAGGAGACCAGACTATATAACTACACTCTTTTTGTAAATTGAATTTTTTTGAATAAAATGATAACCGTATTTGGTTGGTTTGACATCACTGATATAATAAAAACCTTGTGGTAATTCTCTCCATTTACTAGAGCGCATTTTTGGTTAGGGCTACCTTATTTTCGGCTACTTTTTTCTCCAACGAGTCTAAAAACCATATCCCCAAGTATCTACAAAATAGGCAGCAGTGTATAGCGAAAAACGGACCACAACCCCAATGCTAGCTAGAACAAGTAGCGAAGAATTTCCATATAGACATTTGGTAGCCCAAAGTATATAGAGCAACAATGGAGCAAAAAACAATGGAGACAACATACCAAAGTATGGGCCTACGAGCCGCAAAATCTGTAGCACCCAACCTATTGCTAGAAAATGCGTACCAGAGCAATCTAGTACCAGATATCGCCAATGTCGACTATTTGGCAGGAAATCTTGGTAGGACAAATCTACAACCGCTAGAAGGCCTACCAACATTTGTAGACGATTTGTACGCGTTTGGCTATCTACATCGCAAAGAATGTGCATACAGAAGCAGAAAATTGCTATGTACAACAGGAGAAGATAGTTCTGCACAATATATTGTATCGAGAATCTCTACAGCAGTACGAACAAGTATGGGAGAAACTCCAGATGGCGAAAAAAGAGGACATATCCATACAACAACTTTGCATACTATTTCTGCGCATACCGAAACCAAAAATAGTGCCATACGGAGTACAATTGCAAGAATAGAGCAAGATACAGAGCAGAAAGCGAAAAAGAAGTGGAAAGAACTATATCCAGAAGAAGAGGTACATGGTTTGTTTGTAGCAAAGATAGATGTTTCCGAAATACCTATAGACGAATTGCACTCTGCTTTGCCAGATTTCGAAAGACAACTACTAGCACACGGCTATGGTTTGTATTCTATAGACTACACGAGGGACTTTTCGGGTACACTAGATAGCCCTTGTCGAATATCTCTGCAAAGAACATGGTTTCCGAGAACAAGCCGACCTCGCAGCAGCTATGCAAGAAAATACTCCAACTATTCTCGCAAATACGGATAGCGTTGGAAAACACGTTTGTACATGGGTACACACCTACAGCAGCTATACAACAAGAACGAAGTTGTACAACAAAGTCGTGTCTAATTTCGAAGCAGTAGAAATACGAGAACAGCTTGGCGGACATCTTGCAGACTATGTAGACTGTCCAAACAAACATTTGGGCAAGACATTTCTACACCCACAGGTACAATCTAGAGGCTGCACACGTATAGAAGTTTCTTTGTATGCTTGCAACGACGAATTGCGAGATACAGAAACAGCAGACTATTTGGTAGAAGATGCTCTACGGATAGTTTCTCCAGCAAACAACCATTTGTTTTTAGTACAATATTTTGCTATATTTTGCTATATTTTTGCTATATTTTGCTACAAGCATTTGCTTGCTTTTCCTAGGTACAGGATTCTTGGTGCGTGGAATTTCTATGTATAGGATTCCTATTGGAGACAAGAAATCGTAGAATATGTATACGATGCCGCGAAAGAAAAATCTTTCCGAAGAAGAGTTGGAAGAAATTCGTGCCCTTCGTGGGAGCATCTCCGTGGAGGATGCGAAAAGAAAATATGGTATTGGAGTTGGGAGGTTGTATAGAATATGGAAAAACTCGGAGAACCCTGTAGAAAGCACGACACAGGTGGAACCATACAACCCTATAGAGCGTGTGTCTCGCGAAGATATATTGGGAGATATATATAGAGTATTGTTGGATATACGAAACAATATTGCGAAGGAGAAAGAAGAATTGGAGTCCTTGGGGATGGATGTGGAGGATATAGAAGAAGAAGTAGAGTCCTTGGAAAAGAATGTAGAGAAAGCGTAATGGTTTGCCAAATACACAAATATAGCGGGATATATTCCCCTTCCAAATGTTGTACTATGGAAGCTACGGAGAAAAAAGGAAGCTCCAATTGTTCCACCGCAGGACCCTCCCACAAAACAGGATGCTTTTCGAATGCTATAGATTTTCCATTTGGATATTTGCGATATATAGTATAGAATAGAAGAAAATTGTATATAGAATACAAGAAAGGCAATCCTCCACGTTTTCCTTTCGAGGAATTCCATACAGCAGAAGTAGAATATTGGAAGAATAGGCCCTTGGAATTTTCTTCTGTAGATAGAGAGAAACTACGAGATCTAGCCTCCAAAAGACCAGTAGACCATCCAGCATGTATTTTGGGGCACTACAATGTAGATAAAAAGGATTGCAAACTAGTTTTACGTTGTTTGCCTGGTGGTACAATTTGTTGGTAGAGAGAAAGTTGTATATATATAGATATTTGTAGGTTGTTTTTTTTTTCTGTGTATCTATTTGTATGTTGTTGCTGCTATAGGACTAGCTGTTTCCTCTAGAGGTCCAATCTGTTCTATTTCTTTTTCCAGGAAATAGCCGTATACTGGGATTTCTGCATCTGTAGTAGGTTCTCCATCTTCTCCAACTGGCAATAGGAATAGCAATGTGCTTGTGTTTCCTCTGTACGTTGTAGTGGCATATTTTCCGCAAATGTACTCTCCTGGAGGCATGTATAGAGCTTCTGGTGCTTTTTCTACAGAAATAGGATTCCAGGAGATTGTTTCCCCACCAGAATAGAATTATTTTGCAGGTTGTACGCATATATACAACCCTACTTGTTCGCTATCGTCTTTCTCTGGGTTGTTTTCTGCTGTATTCCCATTTTCTTCTACACGCCAAATGTCTCTTGGAATCCAACAAGTTTCTCTTTCGAATTTGTCTACACGGCTTTCTACAAAGTCGTGGCATTTGTCTAGCACTTTTGCAAGTTGTTTGTTCGACCAAAATACAACAACTTCTCCTCCTTCTTTGGGCACAACTACAACTCTGTAGCAGGAGTAATTTTTGTTTTGTCTTCGATATCCTAGGATAGTCCAAACAGTTTTTTCTTCTGCTATTTCTGCTATTTTCTTTGTTTTTGGAATTCGTAGTATATCTTCTACCAAGGTTCGTGTATTGTCCGAAATTTGTGTATATTCTTGCTTTTGGTGCAATAGGGAAGATAGAAGATCTAGTTCTTTTTGTTTTTGTTCTCTACAAGCTTCTTTTTGCTTTTGTTTTTCTTCTAGATAGTCCCATGCTTGTCTTTTCCATTCTTCTGTATGTAGACATTCTTTTATGTCTTGTAGATATTTTCCTCTATCTTTCGTAGACATGGTGTATACTTGTCTTCCTTTTGCAATTTCTGGTACTTCTTGCAGATTGTATTTGGACACATCTGCACCTATAGCATGGCATTTTGCTGTTCTCCATTCCCACTCTACTTTTTCTGTAGGTGGCAATAGAACGCTTGGAGACACAGCGTTTTTGTGTAGTTGTGTTGGCTTTTTGCTTGAGCACAAGATAGTTTTTGTATCTTTTGTTTTTGTATAGCAGCATAGAGGACCTAGCTCTACACCTTCTTCGTTTGCGGATAGAATTTCTACCTGGAATATTGGACAGTTTCGGAAACCAAAATCTCCTGTAGCCCATCGTATAGCTCTATTCCATTTTCTGTCGTCTTCTACAGACATTGTTGTTGGACAAATTCGTACTCCAGCTTTTCTTCCAGTCGTTGTATGCGCGTACCAAGCTACAAATATAGTTCCATGTGGGCGATCTGCAAGCACAAAGCAACGATCTAGGCGACTAGCAAGATTTTCCCATTGTTTTGCGGGTGGTTGTACTACAAACAAATGGCTGTTTGCTGGAGAAACTATCTGTAGAGCATCTTCTACCAAATAGTCTGCTGTTTCTGTATCTCGCAATTCGTCGTTGCAAGCATACAAAGAAACTTCTATACGTGTGCAGCCTCTAGATTGTACCTGTGGGTGTAGAAATGTCTTGCCCAAATGTTTGTTTGGACAGTCTACATAGTCTGCAAGATGTCCGCCAAGCTGTTCTCGTATTTCTACTGCTTCGAAATTAGACACGACTTTGTTGTACAACTTCGTTCTTGTTGTATAGCCACTGTAGGTGTGTACCCATGTACAAACGTGTTTTCCAACGCTATCCGTATTTGCAAGAATAGTTGGAGTATTTTCGTGCATAGCTGCTGCGAGGTCGGCTTGTTCTCGGAAACCATGTTCTTTGCAGAGATATTCGACAAGGGCTTCTCTATCTAGTGTACCCGAAAAGTCCCTCGTGTAGTCTATAGAATACAAACCATAGCCGTGTGCTAGTAGTTGTCTTTTCGAAATCTGGCAAAGCAGTGTGCAATTCGACTATAGGTATTTCGGAAACATCTATCTTTGCTACAAACAAACCATGTACCTCTTCTTCTGGATATAGTTCTTTCCGCTTCTTTTTCGCTTTCTGCTCTGTATCTTGCTCTATTCTTGCAATTGCACTCCGTATGGCACTATTTTTGGTTTCGGTATGCGCAGAAATAGTATGCAAAATTGTTGTATGGATATGTCCTCTTTTTTCGCCATCTGGAGTTTCTCCCATACTTGTTCGTACTGCTGTAGAGATTCTCGATACAATATATTGTGCAGAACTATCTTCTCCTGTTGTACATAGCAATTTTCTCCTTCTGTATACACATTCTTTGCGATGTAGATAGCCAAACGCGTACAAATCGTCTACAAATGTTGGTAGGCCTTCTAGCGGTTGTAGATTTGTCCTACCAAGATTTCCTGCCAAATAGTCGACATTGGCGATATCTGGTACTAGATTGCTCTGGTACGCATTTTCTAGCAATAGGTTGGGTGCTACAGATTTTGCGGCTCATAGGCCCATACTTTGGTATGTTGTCTCCATTGTTTTTTGCTCCATTGTTGCTCTATATACTTTGGGCTACCAAATGTCTATATGGAAATTCTTCGCTACTTGTTCTAGCTAGCATTGGGGTTGTGGTCCCTTTTTCGCTATACACTGCTGCCTATTTTGTAGATACTTGGGGATATGGTTTTTAGACTCGTTGGAGAAAAAAGTAGCCGAAAATAAGGTAGCCCTAACCAAAAATGCGCTCTAGTAATTGATCAAAATAATGAAGAATATTTTTATTACCACTTAGACGCATCTGAAGCAATGATTGGCCCCAGGTATTGGTGAGCTAGAGCCAATTTAACTTAATCTCATGACTATCATTGAATCGCATAGTCATTTTAGCATTTTAGTCATCTGTAGTAGCAGTATTGGTAAATAAATCCAGCTCCAGTGGAGTTGCGGCAGAACCATCATTACCTATGCTACTCCAGTTCATGTCAAGCAGTATTCCGGAGGTCCAGGTATCTCCATGTGTACAAAAGAACGTGCGCCTTCTACGAAGATTGGAAGGGCGTCATGCGACCAAACTTTTTATGGTAGACACGTGAAGAAGACAAATTGACACAAATCGGGGACAAAAATGATGCCCCATTCAATTCCCTTTTGACTTGGACAATATGTTCCCATTTTTTTTATTCAGTTGAATTGACTTGCCTTTAAGTGCTTTCGACAAGAACACCTTTCATCATCAATACTTGATAGTTGTTCATAAACACCTGCTTATGATATAATCGGAATCGTAAAATCAACTCTACTTTAGCAAGGACTTCTTATGCTTATTGAAAGGGTTTTGTCGTTGTTATTTACATTCGTTTTAAATAATAAAGTAGCTGAGCAGCAGCTGCAACATATGATTGACATTTGTTTCATGTTTGTTGTCACTAAAGACATACACATCTGATATCACAGACTGGAGAGTGTCGGTCAGTTGTCCAATTCCACTTCACATCCTGGCCTGACCACGGTGTTCCGGACACTCTCGCTCTCGTCAACTACATCTGGCTGGTCAGAGAGACAGTTGCAGAGACAGATGGACCTCTGCTTGTCCACTGCAGGTACGGTTATCTTGAGTTACATTGTCACTCGGATCACTGCTCGAACACTCTAGGGAGGACAGACAGTCTTCACACTTCATAAGTTGGAAATGTAACGGATACTATTTCTAAGTCGTGTGTACGTACACATATGCCTCATTAGTCTGGATCATTATTCTGGAAAACACGCAAGTAAACATCACCCATACAACACCGGTAAATGACATGCTGATAGGATCATTCATACATACATACATACATACATACATACATACATACATACATACATACATACATACGTACATATTCGTGGGGCCCATGCAGGAAGCAAAGGTGCTGTAAGTCCCCATGGTCCCTGGTGTGGTGATCTCCCTTTAGTTACTGACGATCTCTAGCCCATTTTTATATTGTGTTGTTCCTTATTACTTAATGCTTTTAAATGTTCCGCAACTAGTTTTAAACCTTTCTGTGATATTCTAGTTCTCATACTGTCCTTCGATGACAGATTTTTATAAAGTTTAAATATATGTATATTTCATGTATAACTTCTCGTCACGATATGGCTGAAATATTGCCGATGTGACGTAAAGCATTAACTCACTCACTCACTCACTCACATATTCGTGGACTCGGTGATGAGATTGGTTAAAATATATATTCAAATTTACAAACAAAATCAGAGACGGTATAGGCTGTACAATAACACATTTGCATACCAAAAACTCTTCCAGCGCGGGTATTGGACGTACAGGCACATACATCGCTGTGGACTCCCTGCTTGACCAAGCTCGGGGGGAAGGGGTGGTGGATGTTCTGGGGTACGTGTCCGTCATGAGGGGACAGAGGAAGAACATGATACAAACTCCGGTAGGTGTATTTATCAGTTATAATTGTCATGACAGAGAAAAAATTGTGGTGATAATAAACCCCTGATTTCTTGTACCTCCTGCTTTATATACTGATGGAAAGATTTAAAAATTGGAATTTAATCTATGAAACGTAAATATGTGTTCTTCTTTTGTATTAATATTATGGAGTCATGAGTCGACGTACTTATTACGATGCTGTTCAACGAAAGCAAGAAGAAACTCTTTCATTTATGTGGTCTTTCCCAATCACAGGCACAGTACGAGTGTGTCTTCCTCAGTCTGGTGGAGATGACGAAATATGGCTGCACCAGCATGGACGTCTCCAACTACACTAACAGCTACAGCTGCAGTGGCATGGACACCACCATGGACGGCAAGACTTTCAGACAAATGTCAGAGGTAGTCAGCGTTGAAACATTAAACATGATGTTTGTAACCTTATCAATATCATTTTAATCGTAATTGCCCCCTTTTAAAATTCAAAAGGAAAGAAGCTTCAGAAAGGAGTGAATATTTAAATCTTGTAAGCTTGTGTAGACCCCAGTTAAAAATAGAACTGTTTACTAAATCCCTGTGGTCAATATGTGCCTCATATTTAGCCGTGATGAAGTAATCGTATTACACAAAGGGGATTACAACTACGTATATTCATAAATAAAATGGTATCCGCGTTTCCAATCTATATCAGTGACTCTCCAACTGCACATTTGCATAATAAAGGCAAGTTGTAGTGTACATGTACATATATCTATTTTCACAGATACTGGAATCAGAGGCGCGAGAAGGTCAGAACACACGTGTTGTCAAATGCCAACATTCAATCTTATAAAATCAGCATTCTATGAAAGCAGCTCCAAGGACTCGTTAAACGCTTCTAAAGGTCATCTGGCACTACCTTCAAATGTTATTGTTCCGTTATTGTGCAAACTGCCATTTCTCAATAATCTCAAGCTTTTTCATGTTAAAATGCCTTTCCCTAATTGAGTGTGTTTAGATTGAAACACTATTTGAATTATATCACGGCGAATCAGCTTAATGTAGGAGGGATGGTCGAAGCGATTTTAGACGTGTCCTGCTTTGTGTCCGGTGCTAATCTTAGATAAGTTTCGATGGAAATCCGTAGAGCGTATTGCAGAACAGTTTCATCAACAGATGAAAAGAATTACTTACCTGGAATCAAGTCTGATCGTCCAATTCATTTGTTAGTCGACAGTATCTGCTGTTGACAGTTCACGTACATATAACACGATGAGTGAGTGAGGGAGTGAGTGAGCATGTATTTAGACCGCTTTTAGAAATATTCCAGCAATATCACGGCGGCGGACACCAGAAATGTGCTTCACAATTTTTGCCCATGAGGGAAATCGAACCCAGGCCTTCTGCCTGACGAGCGAACGCTTTAACCACTAGGCTAGCCCACCGCCCCATTATGCGATGAACACATGTAAACAAATCGTTGTATTTATTGGTGACAAGAGTATCTGGGCCATTCCCTAGACAGAGAACTATATGAGGAGACTATACAATTCTTGTATTCTTACTGTATGTGTTTAAACATTCTGCAGATGCTCCGACCCGACACAGAATGTGGGTGGACGGTAACCCTGACTTCATTGTCCGTGTAGGACCGGTAGGTGAACAATATGCGACAGCAATATCTCAAAATGTTTTGATTGATATTCACCCAAACATCGTTTTATTAAACATGTTGTAAATAACTGACATTTGTAAAGTTGCACGACAAAACTGAATGCACATTTCACTTCAAAGAAAGAAAATCTGATCAAATGACTCTTCTCATCTGTATTAAAGACCAACACATGGAAATAACACGCACAGTAAAGCTGTTAGGGTAGAACGAGAATATTTGTCGCATGTATTTCTGTCCATCGCATCCGTTAACATCCCTCTTTCTAGTCACTGACGTGTCTAAGGGGGTACCTGCAAGCCACTGCTCCGCCGCCGGGATTGGTAAAGTTGTTATGGAAACTGGTAGAAGAGAACGATGTCCACAACATCATCGTCGTCACTCCAGATGTATGTAAATTGTAGAATTTGAATTTTTTTAAGAAGGATGTTCTTTAAACTTGTACATCAATTTCTAGATTGAACGAGCGTGAACTCCACAGCAGTAAGAAGTCATTCATTCTGGATTTGATGTTTACTTAAAGTCGGTTTTGATGACAAGCGTTGTGTGTATCTTGGCTGACGTTATCGTGGATCTATAACCAGCACCATGTGGGAATGAAGATAACTTTATTTGTTTGAACATTCATTCCGTTAGTATACATGTCGATGTTACTATAACTGTTGGGAGGTTACTGAAATTGGGAAGGTTTTCTGTTTAAGATGGGGCTTGTGCAAGCAGAGGGCAGGTCAAAGACGCACGGGGAGATTACTGTGACAACAACGAGTCAAACCAGCCTGTCGACAGACCTCACCATGAACAACTTGCAGCTAGCTACAAAAGTAATATTCCATCAGCTTACAGTATTAGTACACGAGTCTACTGACAGATTTTCTTGCCTAACCACAAGCATCAAATAAGTAAATGAGCTATATTAAGTATATACATCGGTTAACTGAATACTGTGTTTGGTCACTGTCGATTGGCGAGTATTGCTTTCATTCATCATCATTAGACCACTGATAACATGATTTCAGTATATATGGACACCTTTACCGCTTTACCGCTTTACCGCTTTACCGCTTTACCGCTTTCTTATGAGGGAAATGTTGAACGATATCACACGTTGTTGAACGTGAATAGCACGGCCGATGTATATTGCAAGGAAGTGCACTCCGTTCTGTCAAAGGAAATTTATAACATTTACAATTTATATCTGTTGTTTCATTAGTTGAGAAAGGGTGACCTTCCTTAACATTGCTCGGAGACCAACACTGCCGTGCAGCAATCAAAAATACTTTGCCCTGTGTGATTAAGCCAATGGATTCAATGGTGAGAAATATGTTTAACCAATCAGCGAGAGTGTAACACGTGGCTTGTTGCTGCTCATAATCGTCTGTGACCTTCCGTGACAACTTATTCAACTATTGTTGAATTTGAAATATTGTTTTGTTTTTTAGTAATAGAACAATTATTGACCAAGTTTCAGTCAATATCGTGCTTTATGGGCCGTAAGTGGAAACTGATATTGGAATTTCTTGGGTCCATAAAACGTGGTATTGCCCTCATAAGTGCTAAATAGTTGGTATGTATTTGTCTAACGTGTTACACAGGCAGGCAGACCACGGCAAGTGAAGATGGTCGACGTTAATGCAAACTTAACTATGGAAGTTATGACATCGCACTTGTTGAACCACGCTCAACTGCAAGAAACATCAACTCAACCCCACCCTGTTGTTATTGTTCACAGGTGAGACTGACCGTAGACACATCATTTTTTCTGTTACATATACAGTTCCTTAATTGTGAAACACTATGACTGGAAATTGTACTTAAAATTTATCTATTCAATTGCAGTGAAAATGACCAAAAGCTTGCTGTCTCATTCTGCATTATGGGTAATATTCTGTCCGGTATTCGTGAGGACACTCGTGTTGACGTCATCGGTCACATGAGGACATTCCTCAGATGTTGCCCTGACCTGCAGTTCACCCAGGTAGAGACACTGGAGTCTTCATTTGACCGATATGTTCTATTTACGAAATATAATATGTCACGTGTAATCCAACACGGGGCCCAGCTTTGATATAAAGCACAACAGACGTATTTTACGATTCTACCAAAGCATTTATTTTCCTATAATTGATTTTATGAGATTTTTCATTGTTATTACTCTTACATATCCACAAACAGGGCCGTGCATCTGATTCAAAACCATTTAACAGCCGGTTAACGTTGGTTATCCGTTATATTAATCAAATAACAAGTATTTCGTGGGTAACGTGACCTTGCCCTTACTTGAGAAGTGCAGTCAGAACCACTGCAAAAGATTTTCATTCTGTCTATTGACATTGAAGTGAAAGTTAATGGGAATTCCCAAAATATGACAATAATGAAGGACATGTATACCCGCAAATGGAGCGTAGCACGCCTTGGAAAGTGCCAGGAACATTGAGTTGATAACAGATGTGACACAGAAGATTGGGTCGTAGATGGCAGATAGATGATCCCTGTTGACTAGAGCCATGAATGTCACTAAAGTTATTTAAAAGTTGCTGTACTTGTAAACTTCTTGGAATATGAACGCCACGAACGAATATACTTCCTAATGCTTTAATGTTGAGCATAGTGGTTTTTGCATCCTCTTGATAACTCATGCGTGTAGTTTGTGTGACATTATCCGTTGTGTAATACAAGATGGCCGTAACCTTTGATGATGCTTCGAACCATGGTAGAATGTGGTGTTATCTATGGCCATACATTTCATCAATAATCTAATATAAATCAGTTCAACTGAAGAAATTCATAAGATGTCTGATGAAACCACTTTCAATAACCAGAATTTGGTTTTGCTTTTCCAGAGTGATGTGCAGATGTTTCATGACTTCGCCCAGCAGTGTATTCTGAGAACGGACCCGGCAAATACCTATGCCAACACCTGAACTTTACACCACACTGTCTCAATGGACCACATAACAACAGCACACATGGTCCTAACTAATGACCAAACAGTGCGCTAACACCGATGCCGATTTACGAACGTTCTATTAGTCTAAATATGCGTATATAGCTTCCGACTCACAGACAGTAGGATTATGTGATATATATATATATAGTATTATTATAACAATTATTACTGCAGTGACAGTGCCTTGAAAGGAATCAAAGGAATGGATTGCCAGTGATGTCACGGAGACTAGTATATACAGACTCTACAAGAAATCGATGCTCTGTACATGTATGATAACATTTGTTTTCGCATTTTGACTGGCAGCATATTTAATATGAGTTGAGAATAATGGACTTCTTATTTAGACAGAAACTCATCTACCTATGCAAAACCATTAACCTATGTGTATTACTGCTAATTGTCTATATTGTTTCTTAAGTTGTGTATTATTTGTATGTGTCATTATCATAATGCATTCTTACAATGTTACCATGCAACAAATGTTTGATTTCTTATTTGTCTTGTTTAACTGCAAACTATACCACCTCTTATCACATGAAGCTGTTATCACTTAATCAAATCTCACGGACACAATAGGGAGACGAGTAGTCTTAGGCATGAACATCCTGTTTTTTTACGACACGGCGCTCAGTGACTAAAGGTCAAACGGCAAGAGCTGACGCTTCAGTGACAAAATGATGTGTGTTGCAATTCCCAATTTTGACTTGTATCACATATTCCATAATTATTTGTGTGAACTCTTAGCTTGGCTTTACATGTGTATGTGACCAGTGCCACTTTTGAAACACCTGGTTTCATCACGATTTGATTGTGATTCATAAACACATGCCTATGATACAACTTAAAAACTTAGTTTAAAACGAACTCTGTCCATAAATAATACGACTCCAAAGCATGGTATCTAATGAAAGAATATCACCTTTTAAGAATCCATATACAATTTAATGGAATCCATAATTTTATATAGATGCGTACTTCTTTCACAGGATTTCACATAATTTCGTACTAGTTCCACTGAATTGCACATACAACCGTACTAGTTCCACGGAATTGCACATACAACCGTAATAGTTCCACTGAATTGCACACACAACCGTACTTGTTCCACTGAATTGCACATACAACCGTACCGGTTCCACTGAATTGCACATACAACCGTACTCGTTCTAGAGAATTGCACATACAACCGTACCAGTTCCACTGAATTGCATATATATTCGTATTAGTCCTACCGAATTGCACATAGATTCGTACCAGTTCCACAGAAGTGCACATTCATTCGTACTACTTCCACAGAGTTGCACATACAAACGTACTTGTAGCTACACACTTTGTCAATATAAAGTCATGAACAGTATGCTGTAAAGGAGTACCAACAAGACCATCATCTAAATTTGAACAAAATATTTTGTCGCAGGCTATTATAAATGTTATAAAGTAACTGTTCATCAACATTGATGTATATAAGTGCACATTTTGACGCCGACATCATTATACTGTCTCGATTGGTTATCAACATTTTTAACAAAGTTGCATTAGGTAAAATAAAACGCCCTGCAAATGTATATATGTATCATACATGTATATAATGTATGCACATCGTATTTGTACGTTATTTATGCACATCGCTAATGTACGTCTATACGTCATATAAGCACAACATCAATGACATACTTCATGGATGCGCATAGTGGATGTACGTATAGATGTGGGCATAAGCAGCACCTCCCCCACCCCAACCACCCACCCCCCATCCCCATCCCTCCGAACCCCTTAGCTCAAGCCTGTAAACTTACCAGATGTTTTGTTTAGGTGAAGTTTGCCTCTCCTTCCCGATTACCAGTAAGATATCCGATATACGAAAGATTGCAATATTCCGGAGGAAGATGTGTAAAGGTTTGTTTTAGCTGGTTAATCTTTAAGCTGGTTAATGTTAAGATGTCAAAATGAGTCTGTGCTGATATTGAAACCAAAATATGATTTAAATATCATCACTATCAAATCGTTCTATTTTCTTTGATAAATTCTGTTTTTGTGTGCTTTGCCAAAAAAGATTGTTTGATTTGTAAATGTGACGTATAGTTCACTGGATATATATATATATATATATATATATATATATATATATATATATATATATATCAGAAATGTCATTTACTACCAGTGTGTCTATTTGCCACTCTTCGCTTTTTGCAATAAAAAAATAATTTATGCAATTTGGTCGTAATATTTTATTATGGAGTTTAGGCATGAATGACCTTGGCACTGCCAAGCATTGCTATGTTGTTATTTACTGACCAATTTATAATGACCAATAAATTACATCCGAGTATTCCACCAGTCACGTTCCTACATGAACATGGATCAGTTCTCACGAGTGCGTTTGCGCGATCCAGTTCTTTTTAAGAGCACACTTACACGTACATGTAAAATGCAGGTTCTGTTGCAAAACTTTCTGTGATCACGCTGACCTGAAAAACTTACATTGAAACAAAGATGCATTCACTGTCGAGGGAAAAGCTGGTACACTCTCTTCTGTCTGATAAAGAGAAACGGGTATATATTTCAGCAGTCGATCTAATGCGTAAATACTTACTTAACAAAGCGATGTTCTGTCAATGGTCTTGTACTAATTACATTTGATGATCACATTGTGTCAAAACGTGCATTATGATAATGTCGTACAGATTGTGGCCACATAGGATCGTCTAGGCAACGATATAGGATTTAATCATTCTACGGTAGTAATTCATTTTTTATCGTGGAGTATTACATACCCATATGGATAAGATAACTAACAGAAACGATTATATGCCTATTCAAGGCACCAGTAAGGCTATTGAAAAACGTATATGGCAAACATTAATTATGTGGAGGCCATTTGCAAATTTAATCGTACAACGGACTCTGCTTTCAGTTGGATTTTTTCGTACGATTATGGCAAGGGGAGTTTCGCATTATTTGCAAAAGCCATGTCAATTGTTTCATAAGAAGGCTTGGGAAGAACTTTGTGTTTACCTCTCAACCTCGTCATCATGTTTTTTTGCTGCTGTGTTATTTGTTTTAATGACTGTTGACATTAGCCATCCCACTTTATATATATACCTAGCCTAGAACATAATTGAGCACAACCATATTTCCTTTTAAAACACTAAGTTTGAACCGTATCCAGTACTATTTTGCTGAAGAAGCACACTTTTTGGTCTACACATTGACATACTCATATTGAGATGCAGAAATGGATTATAGTATAAATTGTCAACAAAAGGCATTCAACTCACATTTATGTATGTGTTCAGGTGGACAATTGACTTGTCCTTGCTTGTGTTTGTGACGGATGACACCGGTGAGACATGACACGTGCACCTTTTCGCGAACACCTGGTATTATCACGATCTGAAAGTGATTTATAGACACATACCTGTACATCTAGTGGGGATGTTTTAGTGGAAAGTTCTTATAACTATGGATATGTTTCTCGTATATATAAAGGCAACATTAGGGTTAACATATTTTAGTTTCCAAATTAAGATCGACATGTGTCAAATATTCTTTAAGTCATTATGTTCAATTGTTTTTTTACATACGTTCTATTCCCGCATATCACGTTATTTTGCAATATCTAATTATATATGTTTATGACATAATTAATGGTTTAAGAATTCCATATAGGTTCGCATTATTATTGTTCTAAACTAGACACGCTTTCGTTTAGCATTAGATGGATCATCAAAAGGTTCAAATCATTTTTTTTTATCATGACTGATAATCGGTTAAGTGGGGGTCTATGACAAGAATTATGTCGGGGCATACTTGTACCCTACTTTTAGCCCTGTAAGATACATTTCCCTTTTCTGCATATGCTAATGTTAGGTGTATCCTTGACCAAACACGCCATTGTCCTGTCCAATTAACTCCACTGCGGTGTACACGTGACTATAGTAATGTCAGTAGCCATCCTGGTGTATAGTTCAGTATGTTATAATGGCTGTGTCTTGTGTTATGCTGCTTGTCACCAGTCTTGTTGCGTACCAGAAGCATATAAACTTGTACTGTCTGCCATTTAAGACTTCCTTTCCTTCCTAAGACAAAATGCTACATTGATATTCGAATCTATACAACTTTTAACCGATGGGTGTGTAATATACTGGAATGCATAGGTATTCGATCAGAACTAATCTGAACTACTCTGCATTTCACAGGTGTGTTTAAGACCAACTATACAACGTAGTATGATAATTACGAAAGAACAAACTATTTAAACATTCAGTGTATAGTTTTAGTTTGTTGACCACATCTCCTAACATAAAGTACAGCCCGGTGACTCGGCAGGTTTTAGTGTTGTCTGTGTCAAACTATGTGAACCATTCATATTTACCCACGGATGTTGCGGCATTCAACCTCGTGGGCGGCAACAATTAGTGTGAATCTGTATAGAAACGTTTCCAGAACAGAAACATGCAGACATTGAAACAAACACACACGGAAGGAACTGAACAGTATTTACTCTACCTCACACACTCACTTCCACACGATGATTACAAATATTCACATTAACCGTACAGTATGCAATAGGTTCCTCTAGTTTTCTGTTGATAAAGATACAGTTATGCTACGAAAGGCATATTGTAAACTAAATGGGTTAATGAAGCGCGACTAAAACAGGAAATTAACTCAAGGGCGATAATAACTGTGACAGCATTAATCCAAATATCATCACCGGTGATTTCACGACAGCTGACAATATTTTCCTTTGCCAATTATTTCAGTGTATAATGCAAACTTAGTTGGAACTGTAGTTTAAAAATAAACATGGATTATGTTGATCATGAAGAGTAAGCTATCAGGGCAAAACGCTATAATGAACCAGTAAAGTGTGTTTCCCAGTGAGTAAACTTCATTCATAACATCGTTATTATCTTATATAACTCCGTTAGAATTCCGACGAGTACTAAAGACCATTGTCACAACCTTCAGTTCTTACAAATCTTGCTGTATGGCATGATACATTTACTATTGTTCCAACTGCCGGGGATCTGAGGATCGTCAGATTGTCTAACGTCACCTCTGTAACCGGTTTTGGAGGCTACATCAACCAGAAATGAACTGTTTAGGGGTAGACTGAGTGCGCAAACTGTTCGAAACCGTCTAAGAACTGCTCACCTTCAAGCACGACGGCCATACTGCGGGCCAATTCTGACTCAATTACACAGACGCCAACGTCAATTGTGGGCACATCGACACTTACGATGGACTCAGAGGAATTGGAATCAAGTCGTCTTCAGTGATGAATTCCGATTTTATCTTCGGTTTGCTGATGGTAGGTTGAGGTTGTGGAGGCGCCGTCATGAACGTTACGCCCAGTGTTGTGTACAGGAAGTTGACAGATTTCGAAGCGGAAATGTCATGGTGTGGGGTGATTTCTGTGGCAATGCACGTTCCAGGTTTCTTGTCATCCGTGGCAACCGAAACGCTGCTGCTTACCCCGACCAGGTACTGGCACCAGAACTACTGCCTTTTATGGCAGCACATGGGCCCGCTTTGATCTTCCAACACGACAATGCCAGACCCCACACAGCAATTTTGACAAGGAATTTCCTTCAGAATGCGGGAGTCAACGTCATGGACTGGCCGTCAAGGTCTCCCGACCTCAATCCCATCGAACACGTCTAGGATGCTCTTGGCAGAAGTCTGCGCACTCTCAAGAACCAACCACAGAATTTGCAAGATCTTGGCACCATTTTGCAGCAATAATGGCGTCGTCTTCCCAATCATGTGTTCACAAGCATCACACGGTCCATGCGGAGGCGTTATGTGGCAGTTGTCAACGCACATGATGGCCATACACACTACTGAACTTGTGTGCTATCATATTCTCGTGTTTGGGACTTATGATTTAAACTGTTAGTGTTATTACCGAATACCGTAGGTGCTTGGAACAAATTATGGTTACAACCGTTAATTAAAATCCTTCTTTGGACATTAATCATCACAATTTACCGTCTCTGTCCGTTGTATATCATATATGGAATTACATTAAAAAAAAATTTAAATTGACGCCATAAACTGTGGTTCTATTTCAAATATCACAGTCGAACATTTTAGATTGAAATATTGCAAACCATATAAAACGAATGCTAATATGACGTATATGTGTCGGCATGCAATTTGAAGTAATTAGTAAAAAGTTGTCATATAAAGGATAGAACATGTTTATATTTTGAATCTGTGCTGCTTTACATTTCAGGTAGTATAATGCCTCGGAAAGTAAATTTGAATGGATATTTATAAGAACATTCACGGCACACAAGTTCGACACATCAGAATAGACTGGACAAAGCCATAGTTTGTAACAAGAAATAATATGGTGCGCACACTTATTTATTGTCTTTTATTACACGCATATTTTATATGATATTAATATAACATTTTACTAACATTAAAACAAAAAGTACATAGGGGGAATCTTGGATTTGAAGCTCTGAGCAGCAGATGAGGGTACGGCCAAGGGCTACAACTACACAGTGCTGTGTTATTAAGCCTAGTGGTAGGCATTATAATGAGGAACATGCAGTAGCATGGCAATATCTTGGAACTGGTACAAGGTGGTACCAGTCAGTGAAAACCAGCTATGTCAATGAAGCATTCCGACACGAGAAACAGGCTGTGGAATGACCTGTAAGAATACTGTTTTAGAACAATGGGGGGAGATAAACTGGTATGTCTACATAAAATGCATCCTTTGTCAGTTTCAACATTCTTCAATTCCTGACGAATTCTTCATTTGTCAGCTTGTACTATTTGTAGTTCCCATAGCTATCAGTGGATGCCTTCAGATGTTCTAGACACAGGTCTCGATTCTTTTGACAATGGTATGCGATTCCTGTGTGTCTTTACTCTTCTCCGCCTCCACAGACCTGCGATTCAAGTACAACCTGCATGTTAAACGGGAGAAACACATGTTAATACCAAGACGAAATATTTCATAATTGTGCGTAAACATATTTATCATATAATGAGTATGTTTCTCGGCAGAATAAAGCCAACGTATATAAACGTTATCCGTTGGGGTCATATGCGGATAGAGATGCAACTATCAAAGGTCAAGTAGGAACTAGTTTCAGTGTTTACGAACAAACATGGCGTCGCCTTTGTCATAAGGCGATCGAGTCAGAATTAATCATTGGGAATCTGGAGAAACTACTGAGATAATTGTTATCATGATGAAAGGAATAGTCTCATATACTGCATTTAACAAGTTCAGAGACATAAATTGCGAAACAAGTTTGCGAGGGCACTAGACAAGCGAGATCAGTTTCTATATATCTGTGCTGCTAGACCTCTGTGGCTTGGAACTGCATAAATTAAAACAGTTGGACTTGGCCGAAATAGGTTTGAATTGTTAGCTTGTTTCGTTTAGTCGTTGTGTGTGCATCGGGACAGGCCGCCCGTCAATAACGTCTGACTGTGGCCGTGACGTCTCAAAGACTAGGGTTAGAGTAGCTTCCCTTTGATTATCCTATGGACTGATGGCTTGCCGCGATAGGTAAGTAAAAATAATTTGTATAGGCAATTGTTGTTTTGCATATATGTAGTTAAGCCACTGTAAAAGAAACAGGTTTCAGTTGGAACTATATTGGCTACTGTCATTATCCGACTGAGAAATCACTTACCCTCTGACGTAATATACTTTAAGGTACATTCAAGGAAAATTTGCAATGCTTAGGTATAAATGTTTGTGAGAGATGGAAAGATATTTTCGAGTACAAAATTGAAAAATGATATTGTATGGTAAAGAGGTCATCACGCTTATTCTTAATACAGGATATTTACCATCCCCAAACACACTCGCGTGATACCATCAGTGCTCTTTATCACACTTACCCACTTTTTCGGCAGCGTAAACATAGATACACTCCAACAGCTAGCATAAGTGTCAGCACCATACCCACAAGTCCACCAAGAAGAACCCCCAAACCAGTTATGTTGGTAAAAGATTGTGTCGATTTGTTGGGAAGTATGTTCGTTGTTTCTGAAAATAGATATCAGATTGACTCTTCCAAACATTAAATAATAATGTAGTTGATGACACAACATTGAAATGGCATTGTTAATACGAATGATCTCTTATGTTGTGAAGTCGGTCAAACTTAAGACAACGTTACAATGGAAAACAAGAGAATCGTGAATTCTACCAATGGCGCGTAGACAGCGAGGACCGATGTATCCATTTCTGCATCCGTGAAGACATCTCCCGTCCACCACGTCACACGTCCCATTACAGTGGCCGCAGTCAGACACACAGTTCACTCCGTACTTCCCTTTAGGACAGGCTAAATGTGAAACACTGTTGTCACATGAATTATATCGGACATTATAAATATATGTAACCACATTGACCTCACAACCACATGCATTTGACATCCATGTGCACATATTGTTTTTCTCGACTGGTACATGAAATTGAATGTGATCCATAACGGATTAAAATGTAAGTTTTGTTATAATTCAGTTGACGGAAGAATTTCCTCGTTCCAGTTAATATATGAGATGAAATTAGAGTCGACGAGTACGTTTTGATACATCTTAATAGAGACAAACTTTTGTGGCCTTAGACTAGATCGCGAGTTGTGTGGCATTCAATTATAAATGTTGATGACACAACTTTCAACGAGCATTACCAATGCGAATGATCTTCTTTGTTGCGAAGTCGATCAGACTTAAGACAAAGTTATAATGGAAAACCAGAGCAATTGATAATATACCAATGGCGCGTAGACAACGAGGACCGATGTATCCATTACTGCATCCGTGAAGACATCTCCCGTCCACCACGTCACACGTCCGATTACAGTGACCGCAGTCAGACACACAGTTCACTCCGTACTTCCCTTTAGGACAGGCTAAATGTGAAACACTGTTGTCACATAAATTATATCGGACATTATATATATGTGTAACCAAATTGACTTCAAAGTCACATGCATTTGACATCCATGTGCACATATTGTTTTTCTCGACTGGTAAATGGAATTGAATTTTTCAATAATGGATTTTAAGGTAAGAGTTGTTATATTTCAGTTGACAAAGGTGTTTCCTCGTTGCAGTTGATATATGAGATGAACTTAGTCGACGTGTACGTTTTGATACATCTTAATAGAGACAAACTTGTGTGGCCTTAGACTAGATCGCGAGTTGTGTGGCATTCAATTATAAATGTTGATGACACAACTTTCAACGAGCATTACAAATGCGAATGATCTCCTTTGTTGCGAAGTCGATCAGACTTAAGACAAAGTTATAATAGAAAACCAGAGCAATGGATAATATACCAATGGCGTGTTATTTTTCTGTTGAAAAAAAGGTTTCTTTATTTCAGTGGATAAATTGAATATGCTTGAAGTTGACGAGCAAGGTTTGGCAAGTTTAGTCTTAGTAAAACCAATTGTTTGTAGCTTTAAACTAAACTGTGAGTTGTGCAGGTCACGGTTATTAACCCACCTTCTTTGCATAGATCCAACTGCCACCCCGTCTCACATCCTTCTGGACAGATTCCGGTCACGTGGTGACACGAACTGTTGTTACCACACCTACCACACCCATTGCTGCAGTCGACACCGTAGACACCACCAGGGCAAACTAGGCACATCATACCATAAGTAAATTTACTTAGTTTTACAGGGTAAATATGTAACCCAAAGCCAGAGAACAGCTAGACTACTGAGCATAAAAGGCAAAACAGCGATGAGAACCACATGATTGGAGCACTGACGATTAGTGATGACGCCAGGTGCTCGCAGACAGGGTAAGGATATTCTGCTCTACCGGTAGCATCTGTGTCTCCCACCTGCCATCTACAAAACGTAACTGTTTGTTGCCTAACGCCGCACAACAGTGGTCCTGTCGACAGGTCATGTGTGACTAATGTCATTGTATAAAAGTCAAGCTATTACAGGAACCATAGTTATGACATAGTACTTAGTAAACATAACGCTACCATTCCAAAATGTGATTTGTTACCTGAAGAACCCTTGTTCACTCATGTTTCATGTGTTTTTAGTTTTGTTTGTATACTTCCTGGTAAAACTGACATTTAACAATTTCACATAGTTTCGGAAGGACTCTTAAATTTTCACTAGTTCACAAACAAGTTCCAGAAATGAATTCCAAAAGTGAATGTCATATCATGCTGCCTTCCAGTGATTCAACCAAAATCATGCCTGCTGATAATTAGACAGTTTTACCCTGTGTGCAGTCTGTTCCACGCCATCCAGCCTTGCATCCACCGTCACACGCACCTTGTGTCACATCACAACTGGACGCCATTCTACAGTGCCGAGCAATGCATGACTTCCTACAATTAGGTCCATACCTCTGTCCTGTCGCACAGCCTGGGGGGACTGTCGTTAACGTTGACTTTGGAACTATATAGAACAACTAACGTACTTCATAAGTTGAAATATATAATGACTCTATTGAGCCAACTGGAAATGACATTGTTCTATTTTTAAAATGTCGTGAAAGTTATCAGACATGTTCATCTGACTTGCAACTAGCTGAACATATAACATTGTGAAATTAAGACGAATGGTAAAGATTAACCCTTCAGGACAAAGTCTAACTTTGATCAAGTGTCTAACCTCATCTGTTTGTATCGTTTAAACCTTAGTCTCCTAACAAAATTATCTTGGATCAAACATTCGAAAACTCATTGGGGAATAAAACCCTACAACAACTCGATGTATAGATGAGGTTGAAATAGCACATGTTGATTGGTCCGTAGTATCACAGTGTTATGGTCACATCCTCGATTGTCCTATTTCATAAGGTCTATATTTGCTGTTCAGCGTACAATGCATGCTGGTGACCATGTATTATTGATGTGACGTGAAACTAGATCCCCCAGATAGTTTAGCCTATTAAACAATAAGCAAAAAAATGACTCATAATGTAAAATTGTGCGATTTGTCTCATTTAATATGACAAAAATGGAGGAAATGCATTTTTATATTCTTAATTTTGGATCATACAGTTATAACTAAAAAAACAATAATGACGTCTGCTGAGACGTATTCCGAAAATCATCTACACAATGAAACAGAAGTACATCTATAGACTGTTTGGAAAAACGAAATGTAAACTAAAATTTATGATGATAACAAAAATACCAAGGACTATTAGAATGCAGCTAAAAAGCTAAAACTAAAAATATCATCAAAATGCCATGCAAGGTGTTTTTCAAGGACAATGGGGTTTTCAGATGAGGTTTGTCGGTTGTCATTATAAGTCATGAGGTATTTTCAGTTTTGGACATAATATCCTAAATTTGGCAACCAGCAACATTGTTTCTTTCAGTTAGATTTGATTCTATATGGATGCCAACATGAAATATATACATCATTTTATTTCATAGTTTCAACCTTTATAGAACTATAATTGAATCGCTATATCAGTCAAATCTACTGGAAGTAAATATGAACTTTCATAAAACATGCTTACTCCACACTTCTACTTCAGCAAAGTCTAAAACAGCACCACCTCCATCATTATTTGTTTCTGTATAGACGGTCAAGTAGCGCCAGGCACCAGAACAGTTCACATACAGTACATCCGGGATGTCTCTACCATCCGCACGTCCTGTGACAGTGTAGCACAAATCACCTTCCTTGGGATCAGGGGAATCCGTTTGTGATGTGTAGAACTGTATGCCTTTACGCCGTTTCATATCTAATAAATGTGAGTATTTGCGTTACACATGACATGCTTGATGAGACTGATACTTTTGTCACAACATGCAATCGATACAAATGTAAATATTAATTACAAACAATTAAAAATATCAAGAACCGTTATATTTGATTCTTCAATGAAATATTACTTACAGTCATACCTGAAGAAGAGTCTAACCAAGGGAGAATGTACCTCCATCTCGAGGTCTACCTTCCACCATGCATTGGGTTTGTCTTCCTTGGTGTGTATTGTCATTGACTCGTCATTACCATCAGTTACTCCGTCAACAGCTCTCCGGGAATATTGAACTCTCCTTGTACTGCTCATCGATGTTTCTTTATTCAGTGCAACGTTTCGGCCATTACCTGTGACTGCGCACACTCGCAATATATATTTCTTGCATACATAAAGAGTTAAGGACAAGATTTTATTAACCATAAAACATGACAATAATGTAAATTATTGTTCTCCTCTATTTCTCCACCACACGTTTGCAGCCACCTGAAAAACATGCTTGTCATATAAGAGTCGACTAACCAGATTGTGTGGTCAGGCGTGCGTATTTGGTTTTTGGTCCAGACTCGTTTATTTACAGACAGTAGTAATATAACTGGATTATTTCTAGGTGCGGTACACAAGAAACAAAAAATAAAAATAAATCATTTCAATAATCATATGAAAAGAATGTTTCACAGACTGTTGCTATTGAAATATCGAGTGAATATCGATGTTTTGAAGTTTTTCAGTTACAAGGATTTATATCGAAAATCCAGGTGAAAAAAAAAATCGATCGAAAACAGCAAGTTCAGTTTTTTTGTAAGTCAAAATAAGGGAAGTCTGAAACGAACTATACTCATACGCAAAAGAAACACAAGTCGAGTATGCAGTATACATGTTATTTATTTTCAACAGTAAAGACAAGAAATACTAATAGGGCAAGATTGACAAAAAGTGGACTGAAGACAGTTTAATGGATTAAAAGGCAGATGACATAATTGTTTTCATTTCAAATGTTAAGGGCTTACACAGTTTCGGGTCAATACCCAAAATGTCAGTCAATACCTAGTGTGACCACCATTAGCACTGATCACTGCCACACATCTCCTGTACATTGAGTGGATCAGGCGATTTGTGAAGGCCCAATGGATCCTCCTGCACACATCCAGAGCAGCTATGCGTAGCTCATCGGCAGTTGTAGGGACTGGGCGCACATTGTGCAGACGCCTTTGAACCTCATCCCACAAGTGTTCAATGGGGTTCAGATCAGGGCTGAGGGCTGGCCACGTTGGAACACGGATGTTGTGTTGTTGCAGAAAGGTCATGGTAGCTCTGGCAACATGGGGACGAGCGTTGTCCTGCTGGAAAATGTACATATGTTGTTGATGTTGTGCAAAAAATGGAACAACGCGGGGTCTGATCACTTGGTCGATATACCGCTGAGCAGTGACGCCGTGTCCCCGACCTTGACCAACATTCACATGGGTCAAATACCTGCTCATATCATGACGCTAGGCCCATCCCATGGATCCCTTTCCACAACGTTTCTGTCAGCGAAACGATCACCTCGACGCCGCCAAATTCTGACTCTTCCGTCTGCATGCGAGACACAAAGGCGACTTTCATCAGAGAAGATGTCACGCCTCCACGCCTGATGACCCTGTGCCCACTGAAGTCGTGCTTGTCGACGCCCTGGTTGGAGAACAGGACGTCGTGCTGGTCGGCGACATCTGAGGTTATTGGAACGGAGACGTCGGATCACAGTGTCCCGGCTAATGTGTCGATTATGTATTCCTATGGTCTCTCGAGCAGTTTCACTTGCAGTTAGGAACGGATGTCGCTGGAGTTGACGGGTAATCTGCCGATCTTGTCGAGGTGTGGTGACCCGAGGAAGAACGCTCTGAGGAAGGTCATCTGTGGTCTGTGTTGCATTGTGTCGATGCAGGAGACGGTAAATTGTGGTTATGTTAACGTTGACGGACAACATCTTGGACAGACTCTCCAGCTTCCAAACGTCCGATAGCCTGGTTTCTCTGAATTTGAGTTAGACTTGGCTTTGTTGAACAAGGAGTGGTAGGTCCAAGAATCGGCCACAGTTGTATACCCTCTACAGTTCGTGACAGTTCGTGCATTTTCGATTTCGCGAGAAATGGGTGCATGATACCCACATAGTCATTGAAATGGTGCGTTTTAGCGATTCGTTTTTTATGTTGCGTTTTTACTCGGGGCTTCCAAAATGCAACCAAAAATATTTATAACGCCATCAGGCTTCACTACATGCTAAAACTCGTATCAATTGATGGTTTCGTGTTTGTTACCTATTTGCGTTAAACCACTTGCGTTTCTTTTGCGTGTGAGTACACATATACAGTAAAGTCAATTGGAGAAAATTCTAGTTGCGCATCTTGGAAAAATAATGACAAAGCGTTTGTTTTTGACAACACTGCTCCCATGATGCATGTTGCCATAGCCATGGTGCACAACACGGAGCCTGTTGTAGGAAATATATACAAGTTCTTGATACTTGAGAGAGATAGAGGGGAACCAATTATAAGTTGAGGTAGGGTGTATTACCGAACTGACCAAGCTCTCGGGTTTCCATACCAACAAGTTAAGGAAGGGTCGTCCCAAAAACAGGCCGAGACAGAAAAGGATATAAGACAGCTATTAAACAGGGGTTGTAAGACGTAGAATTCTGGAGAAAATTAAAGACACAAAGTTTCCCGGACTACATTAATTATTGCTCTCCACAAGATAGGATTTCGGTACACTGCACGTGGCGATGACCGAGCAGTTTTCAGGGGAAAATATTCCATCCTGTCCTTGATGTCTCATTATCTCCGCACCATCCATGACTATATTGCAGTCATGGCTTCCAGATCATGGGACCTCGACCTCAACCTTGATGGGACCTCGATGAATAAGAATCACTTCACTGTTTGTTTGTTTGTTTGTTTGTTTCAGCTATTTGATGGTGTTAAATAAATAATCGAGTCTGGACCAGACAATCCAGTGATTGGCATCATGGGCATCTATCTAAGCAATTGGGATTCGATTACTCATCGACCAAGTCGTGGAGCCTGACCATCCGATCCCGTTAGTCGCCTCTTATTATGACAAACATAGCCGCCTCCTACGGAAAGCATGCGTTGCTGAAGACCTATTCCCTACCCGGATCTTCACGTTTTCCTTTCACTGACTACATGTGGCTACCATCAGATGGACTAAAACCACCCATGATACTGTCAGGTAAAGTTAATCGTGATGTTTTTGTGGGGCTTATTGATGGATGTTTTCGTGGAGTAAAAGAAACCTGGTGAATATCATAAGAAAATGAATACTGATGTGTTCATGGACTGGTTAGGACATCTGCTACCGTGTTTTGATTTTGCAAATTCGAGTAAAAATTCCGATGTATATGCATAAATCAGCAAGAAGGGACGCACAATTGGTGCCTATGGGATAGTTACTTCTTGCCATAATGTATTATCCCCAAATTTGACATTGATGTTAGCAATGAAGAAGTCCACTTAATAAACTTCAGATGTCATTTACTTTCGTGTGTTAAAAATGTTTAAATGTTTTGCCTCTGCAGCATATTATTTTGAAGGATTGCAAACATTTTAAATCAGGGACACATTTTAAAGCATGCAATGCAAGAACTCCATTCACAAACACGACAGGTTGGTATAACGGTAACGCTATTTTTCAGGGCATTATCATTTGCAGAAACCCGAGGTCAAGCAATATGAGGGCATTATCAAGTTACAGTGGCCCGCTCATTTTTGATAACATGCGGGCGGTTTAATGATAATTCTATCCATTCTTGCTATAAAGCATGATAATGATATACTGTAGACACATTGAATGGGAAAGTGAAATTGATGTGTTATTTACTTACCCAAAGCCTTTATATTTGCAAATTGTGTGTGAGTATCATCAACGTCATCTCCTGTGAATGGGCTGTATGATTGGTACGTATTCCACACCTGTACTTCAGCAAAGTCTAACACAGGGCCACTGTGGTCATTGGCTGTCTCAGTGTATAGAGTCAGGTAACGAAAGGTTTCATCACAGGTAACGTTCAGAATATCAGGAATATCTCTGCCGTCACTCCGTCCTCTGACCGTGTAACATAGATTTCCGTCTTTTGGAGTAACAGGATTTGTAACAGAAGTATAAAATTGTATCCCATTACGGCGAGCCTTGTCTGAAAATAATGCACTTGTTTACTCTTCTAAGTGAGTATGCATACGAAAACAATTTTCAGTAGGTTTCTTTACATTACAAAGAGCATCAGTCGGTGCCTGCGATGTATATACTGTTGGGAATGACCAACACAACTCTACAAAAGCTTGGATGTCATACATTTTCGATATTCTCTTGTCATCTTAACCTGCTGGCAGTAATAGCCAGGATCAGAAACATGACAGTCGCCATGCAGTATATTTATGATATGCGTGTATGATTACAACGGATGTAAGCTTCAATTTAATTAAATCATTATTGTAACAAATATTTAGGTTAAAGCTAAGTATTTGAGAAATGAGTGAGTGAATGTTGCCTAACGCCGCAATAATACAGCTATTCACGGCGATGACATTTTACAATATTATTATATACACTTACTATTTTGATGATTTGTTTAAATTCAGTTCGCAGAATGTTAGCCTTAGTAACTTATAGAAAAGAATCTAAAACTGAACACATGAAAAGGTAAACCCTAAGTGTTTCATTAACTGTTGGCTTCTGTTGCAACTTCTAAATCTGCAACGTCTAGAAACGTATGGGTATGGTAGTGGCATATCATCGTTATGCACATCGTACTTTACAGGTATCAGTGGCAGTATGTATCAACTACTTATTTAACAAAGTACTGAAGAGACAGATATCTAACACAACATTACTTACAGTCAGATCTGAAATAGAGGATGATCAGTGGAGACTGAACCTCCGTCTCAAGGTCAACCTTCCACCAGGCACTGGGCTCATTCAGCTTGGTGTGGATTGTCAGTGACTCGTTGTACGCGTCAGTCTCCCCATCTACCGCTGTGTGGGCGTATTGTACTCTCCTGGTACTACTCATCCATGTTGGTTTGTTTAGTGCAGTGTTTTGTCCACTTCCTATAACAGTGTGTGTATATTAGAAGCATTGTAAAAGAACCCAATGAAAATATAACGTCAATGATTAGTCGCTAATCTCGAGGTAAATACATCATGTGTGTTGATTGTGTTTGTTATGTTTGTGTTTTGTTGTTTGACGCAGCACTCAGCAATATTTCAGCCATGTGACAGCGGTGTTTGTTATGCAGGCTAATCACATTTATACAATATATTCGCCAACAAGTCTACATAGTTGTGCTTATGTCTAGCTGTAGTCTACTTTGTGTCAAATATCATTTAATTTCTTCTCATATGTTACATCTGTCTGTTTAGAGGCCGTTTGTACATGAAAGCACAATCATTAGCTCATGGTTCAATCCATGCCAAGTTTCAATATTCATCTGGATACGAACTAGATTTATTTCCTTATATAACCTCACACACCCTAAACACTACACTGATTTATACCAACACGATGACTTGCATGCTAACTTACCTAACGAGAGAATCACACACGTCCCTATTAGCCAAACGATGTTCCACGTAGCCATGGGGGGGGCAGGTTATTAGTTGCGCGACATTAGCTTGGTTCTTAGAGGTGCAGTCCCTTCCAATATAGTTTTTCATTCAAGATAGTGTTCCTGTGATAACTATCAAAGAGGGAATACGGCCAGAAGCGCGACAATGCCTTGTTGTCGTGTTGAAAACACACGCCAATACTGTCCCACTTTTCACAGCACGAGGGTTAAACTCCAAGTGGTCATAAGTATCTCATAAGGAGCTTTCAAAATGTAATTGTCATTACAGTGTACCGCACTCAAATGGTTATTTGTTTTAGGAATATTTTATTTCTATGATATAAGCAGAGGGGATAAGTTGAATCCAAGCAATCGCTTTATGTCTTTAATGTTATTGTCATGTGAGTCTTATTGTACCCGCACTTAAGCTAGTTTGTCATCTTTGGGATTCCTGTCAGAATAAATATATATAAATAATTCCAATACCATTTTAAAAGAATCATTAACATGGTAGTGATTCCAAGATATTTTGCAGATTATAGGAGCACGTTCTTTCCGGAGAAGGTTCGAGAAACAAGTTAAGCCTTATATGCTTTCCTGATAAAGTATGAACGTAGGGAGGGGGCATATGTGTTGACATATTTAACGTGCTCACCGGATTGTAAATGTTAACTCAGGAAAAAAGATACAAAGAGTCTATTTCGCGACAGAAAAGGTGAGTTATACTTTCTTTATTTTGCGACATATGAATTTTGCATCTGTTCATGAAATTGCTTTCTCTATATTTGCCATGATTTTCTTTAACTTCCGCCATCTCACAGTTGTGAGGCTTAGAGGGAGACGGTTCTTATTTAGGGCATTTTATTCGTGGAACAACAAATATCACACTTCTCTAAATTCAAAATCTGGAACTTTTCTGAAGTATAAACACATATTATGATCGATTACTTTTTTTTTAAAAAGTGTGCTCCTTTGTTCTTCAAAATATTCAATGGTGTTTTAATGACTGTAGAACATTTCCCAATTTCAATATGAACATGATACGATTTATACCACAGTTTTATTTTACAATTTAACAAACTGTAATAACATAAATGATACTTATCACTTGTCAAGTTCACTAAAATGTGACCCGTTATAATCTGTCACTGATTTTCTTTCACATTGAATTTCGCTATCCTATACCTTTATATTTCTATACTTTTATACCAGTAGAAGGCTAAGAGGAAATCTTGGACATGATGAAAGAATTAAAAACATGGTACTAAGCATTCTCTAGGATATTTCTCGAATGAAAGTGTTACTTCTAGTATCCTCAAGCACCAATACGCAGCATACCCACTAGGCAATTGTCAAAATCACAAACTCTAATGAGATCTTGAGTACATGGTCACGACCGGTGTTTCTTTAGCTCACAAATCCTATATACAGTCAGATAACATGACACTCGATGCTCATTTCCAACATCCCTTAATAATTATGGGCAAACACCACCTAAAAAGATATCCGAAGTCCCTCATCAAACGTCGTCTTATAAATTCTTACAAAAACCCAAAGGTAGTATGCGGGGAAGGTGCATTCCTAATTGTCCAGCAGCTGGCCAACATTTAATCCTCAGCGTGTTTGTGAGGTGGGGCCATTTAAAAAGTGTTTGGGATTAGTTGGCATGGGTCGGTCCCTTGGGGAACTTAACCCTACAGTGAACTGCATATGACTGATCCCACAATTGATACACACAATAAACCTCCCATCCATGTACCACGCGTCGGCTTCCTGAAGCATGTTCAACACATCATCAGTGGCAAAAACACAAGTAGCTTGTCATCGTCACCATCATTCACACACAACTGTACTTCCGACATAGACAATTTGCTTCTGTGACGGTAGAGTCCTGATTTCACACTTTCAAAATATGCAATGGTGGCTGGACCAGGCACTGAGTACAGCGCATCTTCATACAGCCTCTTGATTGGTGTTACATCTGATTTCGACCCGTGAAGATCCAGTGTAGAATTGATCTTCAGCCACCCATCTTGCCGTAAAAGACGACTATGCTTGTCGTAAATTAAGGCGACTAACGGGATCGGGTGATCAGGCGATCAGACTCGCTGACTTGGTTGATGCATGTCATCGTGTCCCAATTGCGTGGATCGATGCACATGATGTCAATCACTGGATTGTCTGGTCCAAATCGATTATTTACAGATCGCCGTCATATAGCTGGAATATTGCTGATTAAGGCGTAAAACAACAAACAAACAAAACAAGCATTTTACTTATGTTAATTGCATTGACCTCTGAAAGAAGGGAAAGTTTATACAATCATGTAATAGCACATTAACTTTGCTTAAGTTCCTGCTTGTTTGAACAACAGTGGATTGAACCGTAAATTCATATCATCGTAAAAGTATTTTATTGATCTGTGTTATTTTGTTGTTATCGTTTGTACAGTAACAGTAATAAGTATCTTATACTTCTTCTCCAGTCTTTTTTATTTACTGAATTTAGCGTTCATACAAATTTTATTTGGAACACAGGTGTGAATTTGTGCCAGTGCATTGAACTTGATTTTAGATCGGATCCTGACACGACTAAGAATGACAACTCTAGGAAAGTATATATATTTATTTGGTTCCGTTTGATTCCAACACAAAACTGATGAATTTACAACTGACTTTCCACTTTGAAAAACGCAACCGATGTTTCACTATATCTGTTAACTCTTAGAACCGTATTATTAGATTGTAACGTAAATGGCTTGATGCATGTTTGTTACTACAATTTTGTTTCTTTCAGCTCTACACAGCACGAGATTATATCCATCTATGTAGAGGTGGCATTAGTGTTACTATATGTGCGAGACATATACATGATTCAAGTACCTACTCAGACCTACTTAAAGAACTCGGACGGCCGCTTACAGAGACAATGCTCTTTTCCTGTTGGTGTAACCTCACAGAATAACTTGGCCTGAAAACGTTCGACCAATGTGATGAACCAAGTTGTCAGAAATACCAAACAACTGTTGATAGAATAGAAAATGGATGATCTACATACTGCTGCCATGAAAGATTACGTCATTCGACACCCCAAAACGAGACAATAAACTAGAGCAGATAACGTGTACTCGGAAGTATGTACTTACTATGTCGGGAGCTGCAGTCTCTGGTACAGTTAGGACCATATTTCCCCGAGAATCCCCAAGTATTTATGACAATATCCACACATTTACTATTAGAAATATGGATATTTATTTATCGAACGAGGGTATTCCGAATAGAGTATGAATGACACACTGACAATAGTACATTGTGCGATGTACAGTTTGAACATGCTTTATGGCAGTGTAATATATTGTTCAACAAAGTTGTAATTGTATTACATTGTTTCTATTAAGATTAAATAGAAGTTCAACACATTGTGTTTCAACAATAATTTGTTGCCAGGAATGTATTACCATTTAGTGTAAGAAGTGGTGTGGAAGCTACTATATTTGGATGCTTTTTGAGTCAAGTGTAATATGGAATCGTCTAGAACTGCAATGGACTAATCCAGCATGGTATGGAACTTTCTAGAAGGTATTTACACTTTATAAGTTAAAGCATGACTCTCTCTCAAATTGCATCAAAACTAGCAAAAAGATCGTGTCGTCACCCTGGATGTCCAGCCAAGGACTATTTTGGAAGCTTGACCACAGTTGCTGCTAGGTGATAATTACTATCACTGACTTTATTGCTATAACCTGCTATTGCATTTTATACTGCAATTGTAATTGTACTGCCATTTAATTTAAAATTTGAACATCCCCACCTTGCAGTGATTTATATTGATTGGTTAACCTACTGAATTTTATAGTAACATTGTTAATAACATTTCTTTGTTATTTCTTGATTTACTCTTAATTCTTAGGTAGATTACTCGGTAAACTTATAGCTTTACAGGCAACAAACCATATTTTACCCTAACAGTAATTGGTCCAAATAAGATTAAAATCAGGTGTCAAGTTGCATTTCACACCTCAAATTGAACAAGCGTCTTCGCGCAGAAAACCTTGCAGATGAAAACATCGATCGTCTATACATTCATGAATATCACAATGGCTGGCGAAAACCTTTTAGAAATGTAGACGTTCGATATCAGAAAAATAACTCTTCAAACGTAAAATAAACTATCTATTTTGTTGTTACACTTTCAGAGTGAAGTCAATCATTTACGGTTGCCACAAATAAACACTCAACAATATCACTTTATCACGTAACAACATTGACAGCCTGAAATACATTATCCCATTCATGCTTATTGAAAATACTTCGAATGTAAAGGATTTTCACTTTTCATATCATAGGTTACTGCATAACGAGTGTGTTTACCTACATTTAAAACATTTTTTCCTGCCAAACTGTCCCCCTACACTTGTTCACCAGTCTGCTGCAAGCCTCTAACAAATATATCGAATCATATGTAAACTTTTGAGTAGTTATTTATCATTAGCTTTTGTATCTAGTTTGTCAATTTCTAATGAGTTATCAGTTGCAGTATGATACATGGAGTCATATATCAAACATAAAATATAAAACGCCAAAGCCAGTCTCGACACATGGTATTCGCGAAAAGGGTAAGGATGTCTTGCCCCACCGGTAGCACCCGCCACACACAATTTGCATAAAGAGGTTGTTGAGTTGCCTGACACCGCACATTAGTATTCTTGTCATATACTCGAACACCATTTCATATGACAGGTGATGACATACTAGAATATAATATCTGTAAATCTCTATACTGTGCAGAACGTCTCTGAATAAATAAACATTAACTCATCCACATATGTTATGAATTTAAATGATGGAGTTATAAAATATTTCACAGATATTTACGAGGGTCTTCTTTCCCCACCGATGGCAAGCGCGTTCCCTTTGCTGTGGGTTCGCTGGAACGTATATAGGAAAATAGGAATCTCGTTAATCCATTCATGCACGTCACTTATTAGATAAGATGAAAGATTTTCATCCTGCAAACTCCTGTCGTCTGTTTTGTCAATATACAAATGCAATTTTGTCAATATTTTTTGCTCTGAACATTTATGTGAGTTGCAACTTACATTCAAATGTGCTTACCGACCGACTGACAAAGCAGCACTTTCTTAAATATTAGCTTCCCCAGTGATGTCGGTAGGTGGACAA